ACAGCTGGGATTGTAGCCCCAAGCCCTGGTGGTCCCGGCACATTTAGGGGCATGGGTCAGGAGTATTTTCTGGACGTCTGAAGACACACACCAGCCACCAGCAGCCCTGGGTTCCTGTGGGAAGACACTGGGTGGGGGTGGGGGTGGGGGTGAGCGTGTGAGTCCTTCCTCGCCCGTCCCGAGAAGGCAAAGATGTGCGAGGAACTGATGAGAAGCATCAGCCAGGCCGGGGAGAGAACCGAGTATGGGGCAGCAGAGCTAGGATTCGAGGTGGCCCAGGGCCGCCCTGTGCTTGGCTCTCGGCCTCTGATGGAACTGGATGGGGGGGGGGGGTGTCCCTGCCCCACGTTGCCCTGAGCTCAGTGAGGGGGCTGGATCCCTGCCCATAGACGCTTCGGAGCAGGCCACAAGGGGACCAGGGAGGGCACAGTGGACAGCTCCAGGGTGGGCTCACGGTCAGGACCGTGTGGACTAGCCTGTGTCATGTGGCTGTGGTCACTGGGACCAGGGTGAGGGGAGCCCCTGGGAGCTTGTCCATCAGGGCTCCAGCTGGGGCCGGGTGAACCCCCGGAAACTTCCTTCCAGCCCTCTTGTCCCAAGCACATCCCAACAGCTGCTCTGCACTGGGCCACCCGTGGGGCCCACTCACAGGTCACCCTCAGGAAACCTCCCTGCAGTGACGTCACTTCCTCCCCAGCTGCCATTCCCCGACTCTGGGTCAGGTGTGGGAAGAAGGCAGCCACGCGGTTGTGTGCGCGATTGTGTGGGCAGGGGGGCCATGAGACAGAGGGACACAGCACTCCCGAGGGCAGGGAGGAGAAAATGCCCCAAGGAGGCTCTAACTGGCCTTGAGGACCAGCACAGGCCGGGCCTCAGGGACACTTGTCTGGTGACATCACTGAAGCTTTGTGGGGGGGCAGGTATGCAGTCTGCCCTCTGGGGCGCACCTGACCTCACCCCTGCTGCCCCCGTGACAGACTGTGTATGCCCATGACAGGCTGGCTGTCCTCACATACACCAGCACGCATGACTAGAACTTTCCAGAAAGGGCTGGAACACCTCTGAAATGGAGGAGAGGCGCCCTCCGGCAGCCGGCACCACAGAGCAGTTCTGTGTTGGGGGGACGAGAGTCACAGCTCCCAGCGCCGGCCTCCCCACGATGGCGTTTTCGAGTTGTGCCCTGCATCCTGCTGAGGCGGATGGAGGGTGTTCAGTGATTCAGCAGCGCGTCCGTCACAGCTTTCTCCGGTGTTTTGCAGGAGGAAGAAGAGGATGAGCTCTTGAAGTTTGCAAGAAGCAAAGAAATGTTTTTTTTTTTTTTCCTCTAGCAGTGGTGGTTGGAATTGTCTGGAGACAGAATTAGGGGATTGTGGCTGCTCTTCTGACACCTCAGAATCCTGGGCCTCCTCCTGAGAACCCTGGAGCTGCCCCGTACAAAGGGGATGGGGTGGGGGGAAGCCCTCGAAAGAGAAAGGGACCCCCACCCCAAGAAAGCACCCAAGAGTGATGTCAGGCACCGAGACTGGGAACTGGAGTGTTTCTCCAACCCCCTTCATCCTTCAAACCCTTGCTCATTGCTTTGTTTGGGGCCACACCTGGCGGTACTCAGGGTGTCCTCAGTAGGGACCCTGTGTGGTGCCAGGGATCGAAACCAGGTCAATCAAAACCCAAGGTGGGGGGCATCCCTGACTCTCCCGACTCCGGGCTGGGGGCATCACCTCCAGCTGAGAAGCCCCGGGGTGACCGGATATGCTCATCTGACACCAACAGCAAGAAGGAGGCTTTGCAGACGCGAGCCAGGAGCCTGCTCTGTGCAGCAGACATGAGACACGGATGCCCTGGTCCTTATAGCTCAAATCAAGGCTGGAGAAGGCCTTCTTTCTGCAGGCGACAGGGTCCCGGGGGATGGAGCTCCTTAGGGTGTTGGCCGAGTGCCTTCTCACCTCCACCCAGCTCCAGCCTGAGCAGGAACTGACCTGGAGCCATCTATCGCCTCTTCCCAGATTCACCTTCGGCCCTTCTCATCCTCTTCCCATCTCTGCTCTGGACACATGGGGTTCCCCTGGCTCCGCTCCCTGCAGCCCGCTAACCCTTACAGAATGTACCCCCACGTCACACACAGCCCAGACGGGGTGATGGCTCTGGTCTGCCCCCCAGAATGTGAGCTCCATGAGTTTGAGGACCCCGAGTACCGACCGAGGGGCATGCCCCCCCCCTCCATGGGGGCTCTCCCCGAAAGTCCTTGATAGATCGAGAAAGGAAAAGGCTTTTCAGCTTCGAGGCAGAGACACAGACGAAGTTCGCAGACACGGTGGGGCCGGTGGCCAGCGTGGACGCGGGTTTATCGGTCATGTGTGTAGTTTGGGGGCCAGGCCCACTGGTGCTCAGGATACCCTATGGGAGTGCTGGGGATGGAACCAGGGCCAGCCACATGCGAGGCAAACACCTTAATCTCTGTCCTAATCTTTCTGGCCCACGGGAGTCAATTTCTCCCGAATGGCCAAGAGCGTGGCGTGAGGGGTATGGATGGAGGACACCGGGACAGGGAGAAGTGTTTTTACTAGAACCTGGCCTGGGTCATGATTTGGGGAGGGGGAGGGGGGACGTTATGCTGATTGGTGTTTCAGAGAAATGTCCCACACAGAGTCAAATCACACAACCGAAAACATATGGTGCCCGATGCAACACCCCTGGCTAAAGTGGGTGGTCGTTTGTTCTGGTCTTTTGAATCCAGAGACACTGACCAGGGTGTGGGGTTGGGGGGTGGCGGGGGAGGGGTGCATCAGCCGGGAGAGAGGCAGGGATGTTCTGAGGCTGGGGTGAGGTCGGCACTACCCAGGGGACCTGTGACCAACCGACGTGAACGAGCACGGTTCGGCTCCAACACCAGGCACACACGAGACACGTTTCCGTCTGACTTTTATATGAAGAATTTAATTGTCTATACACGGAACTAATTCCAGAGGGTGTATTACAGTTGTTAAAGCCGCGGGTTCGTATATTTATAGTATTTTACATTCATTTCCGTGAAAATACTGACGCGCCCCCTTGGGTGGGGGCCCTCCCCCGGGACACCCCCCCCCCCCCCGCCCACCGGCTCTGCAGGGAGCGACGGCCACACTCCAGGGAACTACAGACTCCAGAGTCGTTAGTAACAATGGTGGGGGGGGACTGTGTGCCCACCGCCCCCTCCTGCTTCCCCCCACCCTTGCTGGCTGGGCCGCCCATGGTGGGTCTGTTTGTGGGCTGAAAATTTCCCCGACTAGCGTTTAAAAAAGACAAACGTGGCGTCGCTACCATACATTTAAACACAGACTCGGACCTTAGTTCCATTTCATATTAATCTGTAGAAATTCCACAGTCTAGGTTTTTAAAAAAAAAATGTAAACATTGGAATTAATTGCAGGGAGCCTTCTATACATTCTTTCTTGTCCAGAGAATTAACTTGTTCAAAGAAAAAAAAAAATAGAATTCCATGAAGAGTAAGTTCGACGGGTGACGTCTGGTCTGGACCCCACTACCCTTCCCTGCCCGGCTCCCCCGACCCCACCAAAAACACCAACTCCACCAGATAAATCTGAGACACACAGGTGCTGTCCCCAGAAGGCCACCAGGTCGCGAGGCCGGAAGGGGATGGACGCGATTTGTGAAATCAGCGCCTGGGACGGACGGGCTGGCGGCTCCGGCCGCGGTTCCCAGGTACAGGACGAATCGTGACATGCTTCACAAAGTACAGCGGGTACAGACAAACACGCACAACGCCACGTGGGCTCCGGCCGGTTCCTTCTTAGGACAGACACCGCGCAGCCCCCGCCGGACCAGACTACACACATCAGTGGGGAGGGGGCACCCAGTGGGCAAGTCTCAGATTTATAGACATTTGGAACATTTTTTTCCTTTCGTTTCTTTCTTTTTTTTTTTTTGTTTTGTTTTTAATAGCACATGCAGCATTCCTCGGTAGTGGGTCTTTTTGCAAAACCAAAAAGCAGCCAAGAGTCAGTGGTGGCGGGCGGGTTTTTGTTTTGTTTCATTCAAGGACTAACGCAGCATCTATTTTAAGATCGCTTCCCCGTGCTATGGAAAGCACATATGGGCTGGCCCGGGTACCGAGGTGGAGGGGAGGGGGGTGGGGTAGGGGCGTAACGTCCGCCGGAGTCAACCAGGAAAGCCACAAAAGGACCCACTACCCAGCGTTTCTGTTTTTTTTTTTGCAACTGGATTGTTTGCTGGCTTCTGTGTCTGCAGGAATGACTCAACATTGCCATGGCATGCAGCTAAGGTCAAGTGAGGTCACTGCTTGGCAGTGGGTCTTCTGCTCAGAAGGCAGGAGGGGCCCGTGCTGGCAGCCGCAGTCAAGGCTGCATCTCCCATCATCCCTCTGGGCAGTGACATGGGACAGTGGGGTCTCTTTGAGGACTTTCAAGCCTGAGAGGGGGGGATGGACAACATATGATTCCTAGAAAAAGGAGGAAAACAACACATAAGCAAAAAACAAAAACAATGAGCCAAATTCAAGCTAGGAAAATGAAGTCAGGCGTGTTGACAGCGTGGAGCCAAAATGATTTTTTTTTCCAAAGGGGGAAAAAAAAAGAAAAAAAGACCACAAAAAACCAAAAAAAAAAAAAAAAGAACAAGAAAAAAGGGGGTTGGAGAGAGGGAGGAAGGGAGAAAAAGAAGGACGGGGGGTGGGGGGGGTGGGGAGGTGGGATGGGGAGGAGGAGGGGGGAGGGGCATGCCACAGAAGGAGTGGAAGGAGAGAGGGGAGTTGCCCCCCAGAGCTACAGGTCGCGCATGGAACTGAAGGTCATCAAAGAGACGGTGGGCAGCGGAGGTGGGGGTGGGGGTGCCCGAGGGTGGGGGTGGGGGGCACAGCGAGGATCTCGCCGGCAGGTCTGCGGGGCTCGGAGCTGGGCAGAGCTGGGGTCAGCGCGGCTGCACGTCTGGCCCTCAGAGCCCGGGGGTGGGTGGCTGGGGGCCCGCGGGCGCCGCCGGGCACTTACATTGCTGGCTGGGGTCCATGTCCGTGGTCAGCTTCACGTAGTTGGATGGGAAGAGGCCCACGTGGCCGTTGGCCTCACCCTTCCACCAGTCGGGGTCCTCCTTGTTGAGGACGGTGATGAGCTGCCCCTTGCTGAAGGCCAGCTCGTCGTCGTTCTGCGCCGTGTAGTCGTACATGCCGATCACCTGGCACACTGCGGGAGATGGCGGCGTGAGCCCGGCACCCCCAACCCTGCCTAGGGCCGCCACCTTCTCCTTTCTGTGCTCTTCCCCTCTCCAGGGGGCCAGCAGTCTGCTCTGTGCCAGAGGGCCGCAGTGGATTGGGGGGAGAGGGATCCTCCAAAACCCCCTCTTATGTTTTGGGGGCCATTCCCCGGCAATGCTCAGGGGGTCACTCCTGGCAGGACTCCGAGGGACCTGAGGCCATGTTGGGGGATGGAACTGGGGTCAGCCGCGTGCAGTCAGGCGGGTGTCTCAACACCTGAATTCCTCCACCCCCACCCCCACTCCCCCGCCTTCTTTTGCTTTTTTGTCACACCTGACGATGCACAGGGGTTACTCCTGGCTCTGCACTCAGGAATCACCCCTGGTAGTGCTCAGGGGACCATATGGGATGCTGGGAATTGAAGCTGGGTCGGCCGCGTGCAAGGCAAATGCCCTACCCGCTGTGCTATCTCTCCAGCCCCCTGCCACCCTCCCCCCCTTTTAAAGTGGATGATCATTAGTATCAAATTAGTACCAAATGGGGAGAGAAGTCAGGTATTTACTCCCGACAGTGCTTAGGGAATTTACTTTTGGCCGTGCTCGGGACGTTGGGAATCCAACGCGTGTCAGCCGCGTGCAAGGCAAATGCCCTACCCCCTGTGCTATCGCTCCAGCCCCTCCCTGTTTTTTTTCTTACTTTCCCTCTGGCTGAGGAGGTATCCCTGTTTGCGCCTTCCCACCCCCCACAGTCCGGCTCTGCCTGCACACTGAGCCCTCTGTCACCAGCCCTGACAAGGGTCTCGATCCTTCCCCCCTCCCTGTACCCCAATTCTCCAGCTGATGGGCTCCTTTCCGCAAATGGTGGCTGCAGCTTCCTATCCTCCCACCCCTCCCAGGGCAGGATGAGCTGGCTGACTGCCCCCCACTCCAGCCCTCTGTCCACTTGGCCAGAGCCCCCAGCCAGGAGGGCCAGTGGGGAGAGAGGGACGAGAAGGAGCCCCCCAAATTCGCCAGACACCCTCCTTCCTTCCCAGCATGCATCTGGTTTCACCGGGATGGCAGCAAGTCCCGGAGTGAGCTGTTGCCGCATAGTGGCGGCTTGAAAACCCCCAAGCAGCTCTCTGCTCCCCAAGCCCCCCATCCCCCCGCTCCCCCATCTCAAACATCACTGAAGCATCACATGTGGGTGCTGTGATCTGAAAGTCACCCTGCTGGAGCCGTGAGCCCTCTGTTTGTCCTGAGCTGTTTGAAGTGCAGGGGGCCAGAGGGTGCAGACCCCTGGAAGGGAAGCCCTCTGCTACCTGCAGTGTCAAAGTACCAAAGGCCCATCCCCCCGCCCCCACAGCCGCTTGGTCCCCCCACTCCGATTTAAATAGCTGGAAGGAAAACGAGAAAAGCCTGGCTTGAAGGTCTTAGTGTTGAAAGCCCCTTGGGGGCCAGTTCCGGTCAGGGTTTTGCTGGGCCCGGCCCGGAGGAGAGGGGCTTCCTGCCATCGGGGGCTGTGCAGGCTCCCTCCCACCCAGCGCTGTCCAGCCCTGTCCTCACCCCAGTGGAGCGCTCACCTGCTGGGGATGCCGCGGGCTTGGGCAGGTCCGTGGGGGTGATTTTGCTGGTCCCGGGGCTTAGGAGTTTGACGTAGTTAGCCGGGAACCAGCCAATCTGTCGCTTCTTCCCTCGTGCCTGGCGGGACAGGAAGGGAAGGGAGGGTTGGAAAGGTTGGCGCCCCCACCCTGTTACAAAGTCCTCGAACAGCCGCGATGCGGGGGGTTCTGGGGGGAAGCAAGCCCCCAGCGGGGTCCAGACGCTCGGGACGCGTGGACCTGGCTGTCCAGAGGAGGCCAGGAGGCCGGGACAGCAGGGGCTCTGCAGAGCCGCAACGAGGACTTCGGGATGGCCATCTCCATGGGCGCCTCCTGGGCACCCCTCACCCCGAGGCACTTGGCTACACTATTCCAGGCAGGGCCCCAGGAAGAAAGTGTGGCTGAGTGACCGACCCAAGTGTGAACCCCAAGTCAAAGGGTGGTGGCAGGGGTGAGGTGAGAAGTCCACCAGGGGGCACTGCTTCCAAACCTGGCTGGTCACAGCCTGGCGACAGCCACCTTTGCCCCTGCTGCTCTTGGCAACTTCACTTCCAATGAATTCCAAACCAGGTGTGGATGACCAGCCAAGGGTGATGGGAAAGGGCGGGTGACTAAGCCTTTCTGGGTGGGGGCCACGCTCACCCACTGCCCCAGTTCATCCATTTATTCATTGGAGATGCCCACAATGCCATCTAGCCAGGACGCACGACAATGTAAGCACCCACACATGGACACATGTGGTGTTACATGCATGCAGAGATACATGGACACTCACAGGTATGCACAGGGGACACACGTGCACATGAACTGACACATATGAACATGCAAAAGTGGACATGCCTGGGCACACATACACATAAACAGGCACGCACACGTGCATACAATGTGTGCATACGCAGACACGCACACACATGCAAACATGTACACATGAGTGTGCACACATGTGAACAAACATGCACACACATGCACGCACTTACATGCACACACATGCATACATATGTGCACACATGTATACATGCATACACATCACAATCAGAAACAAGGCCCTGTGAAAAAACAGCTGCTTTTGGGGACAGCTGCAGGTGGTAGACACAGGTCTCCCCTCCGGTCACTTTCGAGCTCTGATCTGGGGGCCCTGGAACTCACTGCGGACCCTTGCACGGCTGCACCAGCCTTCCCCACTTCCCATTCCTGGAGTTGCAGGGGACAGAGTCCCTCGGTCTAAGGGTGAAAACTAGATCCCGATGTGACTCAGTTGGTGGCTGGCGCCTCCTCGGGGCCGAGTGCCCATGGGCCTGATAGGGACTCTGCTCTTGGCTGGTTGCTGCCTCGCCGGGTCTCCAAGGGCACGAATGCCCAGGGGCTGGTCAGCCACGCTCCCATGGGACAGTGTCAGCCGCTCCTCAGCCTGGCATGGAGAGTGGCTGGGTCTGACTCTGGAGAGACGGGACCCACGCAGGGAAGCTAGGGCCAAGCCCAGGACTGACACGGGCACCAGTCAGCACCTAGGGTGGCATTTGCCCCTCCAGTGAGGCACAGGGCAAGGTGGCCAACAGGCCTGCTGAAGCCCTTGTTCTCTGGGGGTGAACCACCGACTGAGACAGTGGGGACGTGGCCAACAGAGGGCGCCCTGTCTCCAGAGCAGGACATGGAGTCCACCGTCCAGTCATACCCGCTTCCTCCCACTCGGCCCTCACAGGCTGGGGGTGGACACTCCACCCCGAGGACTTCCACACTGGCCAAGAAAAAAGTGTTTCCTCCCAGACCTCACCACGCCCTTCTCACTCTTGATATTTGAACTGCTGACCCGGGCATGGTCGGTCCCCACAGCGGGATCCTCCCTGCAGATCAAAGCTGGTCCCAGCAAAACGGGTTGAAGCACCAAACACAAGCACACAGACCCACGCCCACTGACACACCCACACCAACAACTCACAGGTAACATGCCCACAGAACACACACCCACACAGTTAATGCATGCCCACAGACACACGCTCGCACAGACAACGCACGTTCACACACACACTGACACAGACCAACACAGACACACAATCAAAAAGACCACACATGCTTACACAACAGGCACAACGCTCACACACAACAATCACACAGGTGCACACACCTCCACATGACAGTGTGTAGCTGTGGCATTAGAAACAGCTAATGCCCTTTCGGGCCACCCCGTGTGTGTCCCTCCTTGTGTGGCTCAGGCCCCTCCCCCCAGGAGCCCCCCAGCCCGGGCGCACCTGCAGTTCCCCCTCCCACCAGCCGCCAGGGTTCTTCCTACGGATCAGGATCAGCTGCCCGGGGGCCAGCGTCAGCTGCTCGGGGCCGGTGGCTGCGTAGGAAGCGATGACCTGGGCGATCTCTGCAAGACAAGACAGAGTGGCATCGTGGGCTTGGGGGGCTGTGAGTGTCAGAGGCGTCATGGGCTCTGGGGTGGGGGGGTCGTGGGTGTCAGAGGTGCCATGGGCTTGTGGGGCCGTGGGTGTCAGAGGTGTCGTGGGCTCGGGGGGTCATTGGTATCAGAGGCATTGTGGGTTCAGGGGGTCGTGGTATCAGAGCCATCGTGGGCTCAGGGGGCCGTGGGTGTCAGGGGCATCGTGGACTTGGGGGGCTGTGGGTGTGAGGGGCGTCATGGGCTCAGGGGGGGCTGTGGGTGTCAGAAGGGCTGTGGTGTCTGAGGGGCTGTGCCGGAGTCACAGGCCGGGGGTCACGCCTACGTGTGGTCACTTCTTCCAGCCAGAGGGGCGCCTGGTAAGGGGGCATGAGGCCACAGCAGCACTGCGGCCCAGGGACCATCACTGGGTCACACCCCAATCCCTGTATGAGAAACCCGGGGATGGTGTCAGCAGAGCCACAGGGCAGATGCGGAGGGGACAGATCTTCTGGCAGCCCAGGCTGAGCATGAGGACAAAACCCCTGAATGGACCCTGGTGTGTCCGGAGGGACAGGACTGCTCTGGGTATCTTCTAGAAACAATCCAGGCCAAAGTATTCTACTTCCTCCAAAATCCTTTTAAGGAAGGAGGTGAGGGGGAGGGAGGAAGGAAAGAAGGCGGGAAGAGGGACTGGAGTGATAGCACAGCGGGTAGGGCCTTGCACGCGGCCCGACCCGGGTTCGATTCCCAGCATCCCATATAGTCTCCCGAGCACGGCCAGGAGTAAGTCCTGAGTGCATGAACCAGGAGTAGCCCCTGTGCATCGCTGGGTGTGACCCAAAAAGGAAAATAAAGGCAGGAAGGAAGGGAGGGACAGAGGGAGGGATAGAAAGATGAAAAGACAGACCTCCCTTCCTTTACTTCCTTTATGAGTGCTCAGGGCTTACTCCTGGCTCTGTGTTCAGGGACGGAACTGGGAGCGACCACATACTGGGCAAGCACCTTCACTCCTGGACATCTCTCAGAGCCTGGGGGGCGGCAGGGAGGGCTCTGGCGGGAGCAGCTGTTCCTCCCCAACACGCCCACATCCAGCGCCACACCCCGAGTCTCCGGTCTGGAGAGCAGCCACGGCTCACTGCTGCTTCAAGCATGACCCGTGCCCTGGCCAGTGGCCCCCCACATGCCCTCCAGGCCCCATGTTCCCACCTACAAGCCTCCAAGGGCACTGTGAGGGCCCTAGCCCCTGAGTAACAGCTCACAACAGGGCTTCTCCTGGGAAGGCAGAGATGAGATTCAGGGCTGGGATTCCTGTGCCCCAGGAGGGGATACACATGACCCCCCTCCCATACACACACATACACACAAGGCAGGATTCCTGTGCCCTGTGAGTGGGTGGGGATACATGGCATTACCCCCCCCCCCACACACACACACCCCACACATACACATGAGGACTTCTGGGAGGAATTCTTGTGCCCCAGAGTCAGGGAGGAGGGGGGGAAACACCTGTTACACCCGCCCGCTGCCAGTTCCTCTCTCTGCTGCTGTGTGGGATTCTGGGGGATGCTGCAAAGGTCCGGGGGTATCGAGGGGAAGACTTTCTGAGCCTTCCCTGTGAGCCTGCTGGAAAGCCCCCCAGCCCCGTCTGTGCTGCTAGTTCCCATTGTCCCTGGGGACCCGGTGAAATGACACCCGGTGCTGTCCACCCGGCGAAGGATGCGCGGGGCTTAGACACTTACCCGGCTTCTTCCCCAAACTGCCGGCTTTCCCCGAAGTCCCAGCACCCTTCAAAAAGAGCAGAAGGTCTCATTTGCACACCAAAGCACTGAGCCCAGATAGCTTTAAAATACAGAGCAGTGAAACTCCGAGGGTCTTCCCCATAGACCCTTCACTCGGGCTCACTCTTGGGGCGAACACTCGCCCCTACACACGCATCTTGTTCGCTCCTCTCTATGTCTCTTCGCTTATTTCTGCTCTGGAGCAGCCTGGGTTGTCTCTCGAACTCATTACTTTTCTCCTTACTGCCTCTCACATCTTTCTGAGTTGTCTCAATAAAGAAGAGACTTTTGCTCTACCAACCCCTCCCCCCCAAAAAAACCCAAAACCAAGAACCCGACCACAAAACACACAACCCTGCCCCAGCCCCAAACCCCCCTTGGCTTGTTTTGGGGGAACACACTGCTTCCTCATGCTCCATGGTAGATGGTAGATGGGGGGGGCAGGAAACAGGTTTTTTCTTTTGGTGGGGTCATGCTCAGAAATAACTCCTGCCGGAGCCTGGTGGACCATACGGGGGGGGGGGGGGGTCGGGGATCGAACTACAGGCTGGCCACATGCAGGGCAAGCACTCTGCCCACTGTACCATCACTCTGGCCCCAGTGAATAATCTGCCTCTGGCGCCCCATCTAAGCTCATTAACCGGCCATGATCCAGAGGCTCATAAATAAATTTCAAAAGAGAGCAAAAAGCTGAAGAGATGCATCTGGACCTGAAAGTCACCATCCAGTTAAAAATTTAAGTCCAGCTGAATCACCCCATTCAAAAGTTTTGAATTTCTGGAGCGACATCTCAGACTCTATGCCACTGATGTACCAGAAGCAGCACACCACACTGGATGGGGTGTAAAGGAGAAGGCAGCCAATCTCGATTAAGAAAATATTAGCACACAAGGCTCAACCTGCAACAACATGTTAGTAATCTCTTATCCAAAGGCTTAATGGCTCCAGGATGAAATACAACAATCTTCACACACTTTCTTCTAAGGAAACCCTTTTTTTGATCATTTTTAGCGAATTATTCATAACAAGCAATACAAAATAAATTATTTAGGGCCTGCTATTGGGGGCAGGCTTGGGTAGCAGTTGGGAATATTGGAAATAATGGTGGAGAGAAGGTACAATGGTGGTGCGATTGGTGCTGGAATACTGAATGCAATAAATCATCATGAACAACTTTATTAAAAAAATAAAGTAAAATAAAGTCTACAAAATTTAGCCAGCAGTGAAGGACTTTGGGAGATGCCTGGGAGTGGTAGATTAACTGTGGCCCAGGTCCCTAAAGCAAGTGTAGGTGGTCACCAACTTTGCTGAACCCAAGCCCAGATTCAATCCATGAAAATATTCACGCTCTGCTCCATTGGTTTTAGGGCCAATTAGGTTCTCATTTCTCCATGCTGGAGGAAAGAGCATTTAAATGTCAGTTTAAATACTGACATTTCGCTTGCAAGCTCAAGCTCTCTCTCTCTCTCCTTTATGAGTCACACCCGGGGGGGGGGGGGGGTAGGTGGGGGGGGGGGTTCAGGGGGATACTCCCAGCTCTGTGTTGGAGGGGTGGGGGGCGCTCAGGACCAAACCCTGAGCCTCCTGCATGCAAGACCTGTGTTTCTGTGCTGGGAGCAGCTCCTAGCCTCAAAACACCACATTTCACTCTCAAGCTTGATGGTCCCTCCTTAGAAGTGGAACCTTTTCCTTCCTAAACCGAGTGTTGCCAAAAAAAAAAAAAAAAAAAAAATTCCTCTGGGCTCTGAATTCTTTTCTTGGAGACTCATGGAATTTTAAACGGCTGAGTAAGCCGACGGGACTCTCTGGCAGGGCCAGGCTGTCTTCTGTCATTCCAAAGTGCTTGATGTTGAATTAATTTCCAGCCACCCAGAGTCCCCGGTTTGCAGTAAATTAAGAGTTCCCATTAAGGCAAAAAATAAAGGCCTATTAACTAGTGAGCGGCACCGTAAGCGCAATCATATTCTTTACCCACCGTGGGTACCATGCCCACTCCCCCAGGCTCCGCTGACTGAAATTCCATCACCCTTTGCCAGGGAAAGTGTGCGCTCCCAGCTGACCCCTCGGGGCCCCCTGGTGCTGGTTTTAACAAGCAGAGCTATAGGACAGAACAAAGGCCTCCAGGCAGGAGAGCCCTTCCCAGCCCAGGCTGGGGAGACCCTGTGTGTTCCACAAAGAACAAAGCCGTGCCCAAGGGACAGGCTCCGGGGACCCCCTCCCCAGGGCTGGCTGAGCTGGACAGGGCTCAGGAGGCGACTGGAATCTTCCCTGCCAAGGAAGTGCTCAGCCCAGGGGGGAATTTCTAGGGGTGAGGCTGGCGGGGGGAAGGATGGGGGGGGGTGTTGAGAAGCTTACAGCTGTGGTCCCCTCCACCCTTCCACTCCAGAGGAGGGAGAGGCACCTTTAAGGGATTTATGTCTGTTCTTAGGTGACAGTGGATGTGTTCGTTCAAAAATCTTGAGCACTGCTAATTCTTCTGGGGTTAAGGATCTAAGGCTGGAAGTCAAGAAGTCACCTGAGGATTTCAGTTTCCCTTTAAAGAGACAAAAACAGCTGGAAAGGATCACTCTGGACAAAAAAATGCATGCTGGAAGTAAGTGAAGGAGAGAACCTCGCAGTACCTGTATTGCAAACCATCATGCCCAAAATGAGAAAGAGAGAGGGGGAGGGGGGGAGGGGGAGAGAGAGAGAGAGAGAGAGAGAGAGAGAGAGAGAGAAAGACTGCAATAGAGGTAGGCAGGGGTGGGAGGAAAACCAGGGTCACTGGTGGTGGGAAATGAACACTGGTGGAGGGATGGGTGTTGAAACCTGATTGTATGACTGAAACCTGATCATGAATAGCCTTGTGACTGTGTATCTCATGGCAATTGGAGAGAAAATAATTTGTTAATTAAATAAATAAAAAGAATAGTGAAACCATCACAAAAAAACAGGAAAAAAAAGTAGGGCTGGAACGATAACACAGTGGGTAGAGCATTTGCCTTGCACGTGGCCAACCTGGGTTCGATTCCCAGCATCCCATATGGTCCCCTGAGCACCACCAGGAATAACTCCTGAGTGCAGAGCCAGGAGTAACCCCTGTGCATTGCCGGGTATGACCCCAAAAAAGAAAAATAATAAAATAAAATAGATGTGTTTCCTGGAAAAAATTTTTGAAAATAATAATAAAGGGAGGGAGCCATGGTGAAATTTTCTCTAACCCACTGACAATTCCTTTTCTTTTTAAATAAAAAAGTATGATTTACTAAAACAACGCAAGGAATGATAGATCCAAAAAAACCAGCCAGAGTCAGAGAGACAGTGGGGGCCAAGGCACTTGCCTTGCACTCTGATGACCCTAGTTGGAACCCAGCATCAAATACGGTCTCTAGCACCACGAAAAGGGAGCATGGAACCAAGAGCAGCCAGCCCGAGCACCACCCGCTGTGCCCCCACCCCCCCTCCAATAAAAGCAAAAAGGGCAGCAAGAGACTTTCCACACGGCAGAGACACAGAAGTTATTCTGAGCAGTTCTCCCCCTGCTATACTGTCTAGATGACTTTTTTTATTAGTGAAACACCATGAGGTACAGTTGTAGACTTAGAAATTTTTGTGCGTGGGTTTCAGTTATACAATGATCGAGCACCCATCCCTCCACCAGTGCCCATTCCCCTCCTCCTCCAATGCTCCCAGCATCGCTCCCACCCTCCCCACCCCCCCCATCCCACCCCACTCCTGTGGCAGGGCATTCCCTTTTGTTTCCTCTCTGCTTTTGAGTGCTGCAGTTAGCAAAAGAGGCATCGAGTGGCCTTCTAGAGGACTTTTTCTTTCTGGCTTTTAGGCCCCACCTGACACTGCACAGGGGTTACTCCTGGCTCATGCACTCAGGAACTACTCCCAGTGGTGCTCAGGGATGCTAGGAATCAAACCTGGGTCAGCCACATGCAAGGCAAGTGCCCTCCCCACTGTACCATTGCTCCAGCCCCCACGTGTCTGACTCTCATCGGAGCCACTGGGCAGCTGGAGAGGTCTGCGAAGGGGAGGAAGACATTCTGCCCGGCTGGCACCGACGCTCCCAGGGCAGGCAGATAGGGGCAAAGCCTGGGGGCTGGGGGTGGGTGGGGGGAGAGAAACCACAAGCAGCTCTCAAGACTATGGCAAGGAAAATAAAAACCAAGAAGTTTCACCACCAACAGGAACGCTACTCCAAGAGCCAACCCGAACAAATCAAACCGCTCCTGGGACAAGTAGGGAAAAGGAGAGCTGGCGGGGGAATATCATAGCAGCTGCGACAGGCCCCGCCCAATCCAAGGCCGGAGCCCAGGCGCCCTGACCAGCGCCGAGAGGAGCTCCTGGGGAGCGGGCCCGCCAACTCCTGCTGCTTCTCTCTGGGCCTGGGAAGGAGAGAGACGAGCCTGAAGCTGGCCCGTCCGCGGGCTGGCAGGAAACCGTGAGCAGTCCCCGCTCCCGGCGACCCTGGACCCACCCTGCCTCTCTACCACCGGGATCCACCAACAGCCCCTCACTGAGCGCCAGGCCGGCTGGCTGCCAGGGGCCCCTGCTGTGCCCTGGGGGACCCCGCGTCTGCTTCCTAAGATGCTGGCATTTGATGTACTGATGCCAGTGAGTACCACCTCTGAACGCAGTTTGATGGATATGAGCTGCTGTTGCTGGCGCCATGGTTAAGTCTGTCTGACACCCTGGCCTCACCACAAGGACCCCCTCATGTACTGCTGCGGGGGGTCCTCCTGCTGCAGAAGCAGATCTGAGACATTCATTTTTTGAGCTGGTGCTCAGAACCAGGACCCAGGGCCTCACATCCACAGGACAGAACTCCACCCCGCCCAGCCCCTATGAACATTCTGGAAACCGTCCCCCCACCCCCCCGCCCCCCGGCTGAGATTCCGGGGCTGGTGTGACCCAGAGACTTTTGTTTCTGGGGCATGGTACCGCTCTGAACTGTTCCGCTCTGAACTGTTCTTTGTGGAGGGTAGGTGGGGGTCTATCCCCTACCCCCACCCACCCATAGGTGACCGAGGACCCAGAGAGGGAGCCTGCATCTGAATGTGGCAGCTGCACCCTGTATGGGACACATGGGCTCCCCCTGAGCACTCACCGATTCCCCTGTGGGTGCTCACTCACCTCAGCGTCCTTAAGCCTCACATAGTTAGAAGGGAAGACTCCGGTCTTGGCGCCCACCGCTCCTGTCCACCAGTCACCGTCCTTCTTGGTGACCAGAATCACGTCCCCTTGCTGAAAGGTTAAATCGCCTTGCTCAGAACTCTCGTAAGTGTACATGGCAATAAACTCTGGTGGGGAGAGATATCGAGATACGGAGAGAGCTTGATTGTTTCCAGAGATCCCAGACCGCGTGCGCAGAAGCAAGTTGACGAATTGGGGTGCTAGGGGCAGAGTCACCCGGGAGGGAAGGCGGGAACGCGGCTGCCCAGGCCCGGGCACGGGGGAACGCATTCACTGTGGACAGGAAGACCCAACCAGAGGCACCCCCAAAGCGCCTGGATGTCCACCAATGCTCAGACACGGGTGGCGGGAGGCCTGTGATGCAGTGTCAGGGTTTTCTGACTTCCGGGGTGGATGATCTTGCCCCAGACTTCAGCTCGGCCACCCTGACTTGTATCATAAAGGTGCTGAACGCCGGCTTAGATTTATACCAGCAGGGGCTGGAGTGACAGCACAGTGGGTAGGGCGTTTGCCTTGCATGTCGCTGATCCGGGTTCGATTCCCAGCATCCCATATGGTCCCCTGAGCACTACCAGGAGTAATTCCTGAGTGCAGAGCCAGGAGGAAGCCCTAAGGTGGGTGCGGACCCCCCCCCCCCCACCAAAAAATAGATTCACACCAGCAGCCGGGGCGGGCCGTGCACATACATCACATGGTAAGGACCAGCGTCTCACTCTCGCGGTACCAAGGTACAGTGTGACAAAGCTCAGTTAAGTCCTGTTCGTCTTTTCTATATGAAACCTTTCCCCATGATTTGTAACTGATGTTCTCTGGTGTCCTATGCACGGAGGGTAGAGCTGGTAGAACACAAAGTGAAACTAAACATTCTTCATTAAAAATAAAAAGAGCAAAAATAAAGAAAGAGGGCAGGGGCCCATCAGGGCCCAAGAGGAAATAGTACGGCGGGTGGGACACTTGCCTTGCACACAGCCAAGCCAGGCTGAATTGCTGACACCATAGAGGGTGCCCAGAGCCTGCCAGGAGTGCCCCCTGTGCACAGAGCCAGGAGTCAGCCCTGAGCATTGCTGGATATGGCCAACCCTCCTCTTCCCAACGCCCCCAAAGGGTGGGACACCGGCTTGGCCTTGGGTGGATGGAATGAAGATGACAGTGGATTCCACTGCAGGAAGGATGGAGACCTATTAGCACGTTGCCCAGATCCATCTTAGCAGCTGCCTTGGTTAACAGGTGGGCTCTTTCCCTGCCTTGAGCATGCAGGAAGGGGCTGCCTCCAGCAAAAATTTCCCTTCATCATCAACAGCTGGTTTGGCTGGGCCTTAACTCACTTTCAGAGAGGACCTTGAGCCACAAACATCAAGATGAGATAAACAATTTACAGAGATATGTTTCTGGTTTCCACCTCTCCCCTAACCCTCCTCCAGTGAATCCTAGATGTCTGCTTATACTTCTTCTAAAAGCAGTGGGGAAAACACCTCCACCTCCCCACCAAAAAAAAAAAAAAAAAAAAAAAAAATCACCATTTACTGAAAAAGTCCATTTTCTGGCTGGAGGAGGAAGTCTATGTTCTCTACTAAAACTTCAGAGGCTGAGAGTTGGGTTGGAGCTAATGGCAAGGACTGGGTAAGGTTTAGCACGGAGGGCTCCAGGACCCTCTGGAGGGGGCTCAGAAGAACTGCAACACTGGGCCAGAACGACAAGATGGGGGAAGGCGTCGTGGCCCATTCAGATGGGATCCCTGGCATTCCCTTTGGTCACCTGAGCCCTGCCAGGAGTGATGGCTGAGTGCAAAGCCAGGAGTTAGGCCTGAGCTCCGCTGGCTGGGTGTGGCACCCAAACCAAAACAAAACAGAAAGGAAACAAAACAAAACAAAAAAACAACCAAACTGTAGCATGCACCCCACTCTACAGCCCCAGAGTGGGGTCAAGGTCATGCAAACAGGCGAGGGAGGACAAAAAAAGCGTACTTTTTTTTTTTTGCTTCTTTTGCACCACACCCGGTGATGCACAGGGGTTACTCCTGGCTATGCACTCAGGAATCACTCCTGGTGGTGTTTGGGGGACCATATGGGATGCCAGAGATTGAACTTGGGTCAGCCGTGTGCAAGGCAAACGTCCTACCTGCTATACTATTGCTCCAGTCCCCAAAAACACTTCTTAAAGGGGGACACGTGCCCGGCTGAGCAAGCCAGAAATCTGAACCCCTGGGCCAGGAAGTTGAACTTGGGGTGATGCGGCAAGAAAGAACATCCTCTCCGTGGTCGCTTCCCTGACCTCCCTCCCGCCCCGGGCTGCTCCTGGACTGGGTCTCTCCACTCCCGTTTGGCCCCGGGAGAAGAGGTTTGAGGCCCTCCAGACTGGCCCTGCGCTTCCTTGCACTTAAAGTCCCCTGTTTTTTTTGAAGTGACTTTCGAAATGCTTCAGCGGCTCCCAAAGTCTGAACTCTTGCTGAACCTTCCCTGGGCCCTGAGGACACAGCTGTCAGGGAGGTGTCTCAGGATTAAGGGACACCCGCCCCCGCCCCCGCCCTCGCCATTCCCCCCTCCCCCTGCCAAGACAGGAGTGTATGAGGCCCAGGACTGCATCACCAACCCCACCTTCCTCTGCCCCTGGCCTCAACTGAGACCTCTGCCACAGGGCGCTGTGGCCCAGTCTGCCGGCCTGCTTCAATGGGGGAAGACAGGAAGACACTGAATGTAGCCTGGGGGCAGCGGTGGGGGGGGGGGGATGAGCTCCATATCCATCCTGTTGTATCTGTCCTGCCGGGGCTTTTCTCCCACTCCCCATGGCCCTACTCTTCACCCAGGAAGCCAGCCCGCTTTCCTGAGTGCTCTGATCGATCCCGAAGCACCCAACACGCGTCTGCTAAGGCAAGCGCTTCCCAACGATCCTCTTCCGCCCACTCGGCTGCGATCCACAGACCCGAGTGGCGAGGTCTCTGTTCCTATTTCAGAGCAAATCAAATTTCCTCTGTGTGGCTGACACCCCAGAAGCCCTCACTGTCTGTGTCAGTAACGCAGTTGAGGCAACAGAAAGGGATGAAAGAGCCACAGCAATAGCATAGTGGGAAGGTACTCACCGTGCACAGGGTTGAGCCGGGTTTGATTCCGGCAGTCCATATGGTTCCCTGAGCCCCACCAGGAGTCTGCCCTGAGAACTGCCAGGAGTGCCCCCCGCAAAAACAAACAAACAAAAAAACAAAACACAAAGCATTCTCTGCAGATGGAGAGACAGGAGACAGTACAGGGGTAAGGTGCTTGCCAGCATGTGGCTGACCCAAGTTTAATCCCTGGTACCAAATAGGGGGCTCCTGAGCACAGAGCCCCAAACATTACTAAACGTAGCCCTAAAATCATTATTTTTTTTTTTTGCTTTGGGGTCACACCCGGCGATGCTCAGGGGTTACTCCAGGCTCTGCACTCAGGAATTACTCCTGGCGGTGCTGGGGGAACCAAATGGGATGCTGGGAATCGAACCCGGGTCAGCCTCATGCAAGGCAAATGCCCTACCCGCTGTGCTATCACTCCAGCCCCCTGATGGGTATTTCTTAAACCCATTCCCCCTACTGGCACGTACAACCCTGTGGATTCTGCCTGGAAGTAAAGAACAGGAAATAAAAGCAACTAACTGGGGCTGGAGCAATAGCATAACAGGGAGGGTATTTCTCTTGCATGTGGTCAACCTGGGTTCAATCCCCAGCATCCCACAGGGGTCCCCTGAGGCCCGCCAGGAGTGATCCTTGAGTGCAGAGCCAGGAGGAAGCCCTGAGCATCACAAAGCATGCCCCCTAAAAGTTCCCCGCAGTCCCCCACACACGAACAACTATGTTACAACCCCAAGATGCCCTTTTTTCCAGGCCTAACTAATATGCTTTGGGAGTTTACATAGGGCAGAACCGGGATGCCCTGTGTAGCTGTGCTGAGCAGTGCTGGTTTTCAAACAAATGCTCCTGTCAAACTCAGAGAATGGAGCGTGGAGGGAAAGTGCCGACCATAACGGCCTCTAGAAACACTCTGAAAAATGCCACCACTGGGGACTTCGAGGACCTTGCTCCAAAGCTAAAGTCAGCCATGGTTAGGGAATTCAGCTTTGCTCTGAGAGCAGTTCTGAATTTTAGGATTTTGATGCTCCAGAGCTTACTCCTGGCTCTGCACACAGAAACTTCTCCTGCCAGTGTTCGGAGAACCATATGGCATGCCGGGGATTGAACTGAGTTGGCCGTGTGCAAGCAAGCGCCCTCCCCACTATACTACCTCTCTAGCCCTCAGAGTGCTCTCCACCCCTTCATCTACTATTTATTTTGGGGGGGCCACACCCACGGTGCCCAGGGCTGACTCCTGGCACAGAGCTCAGGGATCACAAGCACAGTGTGATGGATGTGATGGGATTTTGTGAAGCATTCCAGGAACATTCTATCTTGGTGTTTCAGGCAGTGCAAGCACAACTCGAACGTTTTCTTAGGTAAGAAAATGGAATGCACTCTCCCTGCAAACACCAGCCGCTTCCATCACACAGTCCCCTCGCTCCTTGGAAAGCCCCAGTTGGAGTCAGGGTCTCACCATCTCCGCCGGTAGCAGCTGTCTTGGCGGCGGGGGACGACACTCTCTTCAGACTGGCTGGACTTTCTGAAGGACCCGGGTCGGTGCTGAAAGAAGGGGGCAGGGAGGGTTTTAATCCTCATCGCCAGAGGCAACAGTTACAAGCGACAACGCTCTTTTGCTTGTAAAACTGATTTCTGTTTATACCTAGAAACAAGACATAGCAGAAAGAGCTGTACTTGGCTAGGTTACACACACACACACACACACACACACACAGGGTCGATCTTGGTTCTAAGTCACACTCATTTTTTTTTCTTTTTTTGGGTCACACCGGGCAATGCTCAGAGGTTCCTCCTGGCTCTGCACTCAGGAGTTACTGCTTGGGGAACCATACAGGATGCCGGGGATTGAACCCTGGTCGGCCCTCTGTAAGGCAAATGCCCTCCTCACTGCACTATGGCTCCAGCCCCCACTCTTGGGTCTTTATTATAGCTTTGTTTCAGAGCATGGCTGAAAGCTGCTCAGCTGCTCTGCATTTCAGACTTCTTTTTTTTCTCTTCTCCAAGCTCACATTTTAAAATTAAAACAAAAACAAAAACAAAAAACAGCTTAATACAGTTGGAGTAAGTGAAGCAACAAACTTGTTCAGATTCCACACTATTCAAGACCTCATTGAGAGAGAGAAAAAAAAAAGATTCTCTTTCATCAATGATTTTTCCAGAAATGCTGGTTTCTAAGTGCTCAGCCCTCCTTGGCAGTGTGCCGAGTACCCCAAGCATGAGAACACGAGAGCCAACAGATCCCCAAGAATGTTCTAGAGTGGAATTCTCTACTGCACGGTGAAAACCCATCCCCACCCCCAGAGATACAGGCCAAAGAGCTGGCACATGGGTGAAGGCGCACACCTTGTACTGGGACTGGAGTGATAGCACAGTGGGTGGGACATTTGGCTTGCACGTGGCTGACCCCCGTTACCCCTCGATATGGTCCACCAAGTACTGCCAGGAGTCATTCCTGAGTGCAGAGCCAGGAGGAACCCCTGAGCATCACACGGTAGAGCCCTTGCAAAAAACCCTTGCGATGGGGGTTGGGGGGAGGGAGGGGGGGGAAGAGAAACAAAAAAAGGTGCATGCCTTGTATCCATCCTGGATACCCCCATCCCCAAACCTGGAGCCTTTCTAGGTGCAGCCCTGAAGTTCCCCTAAGCACACTGGGATAGTCGAGATACCTTTTGGTACCTCCAGGCGTGAGCAACACAGCCTCCTGGGGCTGTAGCATTAAGCTCTAATTCAGTCAGCTTGGCTAAATGGCTGGAGAGACCCCCCCTACTCCTGCCCCAAAGCCAAAATCAAAAGCAAAGATGAAGGTTTATGGAAATCTTGATCCCTGCTCCTGTTCCTCTCCTGCCAGCAGACTCTTTAGCTTCAGCTGTTGAAAGACAGACAGACCCCAAAGACAGACAACACCTCCCGCCTCCCCGCCAGTCACCCACCCCACATCCCTCCCCTCCATGCAGACAGCAAAGCAAGACCCAACACTATTTTTTTTTTTTGGATCAAACAGAAGCAGACGAAACCCTGCAAAAAATACCTGGTGGGTTTCCTGACGGGGCCTGAAATGAGCTTCACGTAGGACTTGGGGAACCAGCCCTTCTGGCCCTGGACTTCCCCGAACCACCACATGTCCTGCTGCTCCAGCACCGTGATGACGTCGTTCTTGTTGAAGTTCAGGTGGTTGTCTTTCTTGGCCCGCCACGGGTACAGGGCTTGCGCCTGCAGCCCCTCCACCTTCTCACCCTTGGGCGGGGCAGAGAGGAACGGAGAGGGTTTGCTCCCTGGCTGCCCTCTGTCCACAACCACCCGCTCCCAGAACTCACAAGTGGGTGGGTGGCAACCAAACTCTGGGGACCACATTTCTGCAGCACTAGGGAGAACGATGTGCCGCTGAGGACTCTGCCCTTGTTTGCGGCTGACCCCTGAGTTAAGTGAGCCCCTGAGTTGGGGCTCTGCCCACCCCCACCCCATAGAGCTCTACAGCTTCTGAAGGAAACTCAGTGTTCACCCCCAAACGTGACTAGCGACTGTGGTCGACCAGGAAGCCTCACTGAGAACCTGGGTTTCATTTCTTCAGACTGTGAATAACGCCATGCGGAGTCCCTGTGGGTCTGTGAGAGACTGAGTAGGTTGTTCTTTTTTTTTTTTTTCCCCATTTTTGGGTCATCCCCAGCGATGCACAGGGGTTACTTCTGGCTCTGCACTCAGGAATTACTCCTGGTGGTACTCGGAGGACAATATGGGATGTTGGGAATCAAACCCAGGTCGGCTGTGTGCAAGGCAAATGCCCTACCCACTGTGCTATCGCTTCAACCCCAAGACTAGGTAGGTTTTAACTTGTTGGCTTTATCCTTTGACTTATTTTTGGGTAACAGCTGGTGGTGCTCAGGGCTTACTCCTGGCGGGGGTTGGGGGAATACATGGGGTACGTGGACTGGCTGTGTGTGTAAGGCAAGTGCCCTACCCTCCGGGCTATCGCACCTGCTCTGGTTTGAACTTTACAAATACTTCTTAAAATGTACTGTTTATGGCAGGGGAAGACTGATTAGACCAGGATCGACAGCTGGAGGGCCTCACTCACACTTGATTTTTTCCACTATTTCAGGGCACACAGTGGGTGTGTGAAGTCTGTTCAAGAGGGCTTATCTGTACACACATGCATAGTAAGTTTCCAGTATATTTACTGGGGGGGGGGGGGGGAATCACTGTGTAAGGAGCTGTGTGCAGAGACAAGCCCTGTGGGCGGGTCACGTGTGTTCTGATCGGCAGAGGTAGTACCCTGTGTGTCTGTGTGTGGAGAACACTTTCACCCAGCCCAGAGCGCTGGCCATGCTCCTGCCCCCAGTCAATGGGACTTGGTTGCTGAGGGAAGCAGAATTTTTTTTTTTTTTTTTTGCTTTTTGCGTCACACCTGGTGATGCTCAGGGATTACTCCTGGCTCAGGCACTCAGGAACCACTCCTGGAAGTGCTTGGGGGATCACATGGGATGCTGGGGATCAAACCTGGGTCGGCCAAGTGCAAGGCAAACGCCTACTCACTGTATTATCGCTCCAGTTCCGGTCAGAGAAATGGGGCAGGGGTGGTGGCCACCTGCTGCAGTCGCCACTGACCGTGTGTGGGTGTACAGGGAAATGGGGTGGGCAGTGGGGCGTTACACAAGAGGAATCCATTGTCATCTCTTCCTACAGCGGGGAGGGCACTTGCCTAGCGATGTGGCTGACCCAGGTTTGATCCCCCAGCACAGCACAGGGTCCTCCCAGCACCGCCTGGAGTGATCCCTGAGCACAGAGTCAGGAGTTAAGTCCCAAGCACTGCTGGGTGTGTCCCCAAAGAATAAAATAAAATGCCACCTTTGTTGCCCTGGAAGGTTCAGGGTAAAAATCCTTTATTGTGGACTGTCCAGTGCACTGGAAAATAATAGGATGGAGCAAAGAGCAGAGAACCGGCTGGGAAGAGGGATGGGACGCTCGACGTTAAATCCCGCAATGTTGGAGCCTGACCAGAGTCATGAGGAAATTCCGGGAACGCTGCCTTGCAAACAAGGCTGTGTCATAGCTGCAAACAGCTAGGAATTCTGAGTGAACTGGGTTGGGATCAGCATGTCCCAATGCAGCCGCCTTCTGTTATAGATTAACTGTGCTATGATTGGATGAAAGTTAAACAAATATCTTACTGGGCTATTGCATAGAGCTTGCATAGATGTTGATGTGGAATATATGGGAAACGGGATGTAAAGATTTACAAGGTGGTTTGGTTTACTTCGTTTGTGCATCATTAGGCTACAAAAATAATATGTACTTTAAGGTGTTTTGATCTTATGTACTCTGAGGTATGCTGGATGTTTTGATCGTCAACCCAATAAAAAGGGGCTGCAAAAGCCAGTCAGTGCTAAATGGACAGAGTGAGCGTTAGCCCTCCACTTTCAAGCATTCCACATGCCTTGCTTATCTCTGCGCCCCCAAACAATTCCTCGATCGAGAACCAACAGCTCAATGCACTATAAGAACCTCCCAGCTATCCCCCCGGAGGGCAGATGCAGGAGAGGGGCGCATCCTGCCGGTGGGCCGCTGGGAGACTCCCTCGGAGGAGGCAGCCCTGGAGGGGGGCCCCGCGCCGGGCCCAGGCCAAGGCCTCGAGGAGATGTGCACGCACAGCTGTGGAGGGTCCGGGAGGAGGAGCAGGAGCCGGGGCTGAGGGTGGGTTAGTCTCAGGGAGGGGCGCAGGAGGGGTGGCTGTAAAGGCAGGGGGAAGCATTTAGCATTTTCTGAAAGAAAGAACCTCATCTCATCCTCTCTGCTGAGGAAGGCGCCACCATCTGCCCGGCAGGCAGAGACATAGAGATGCCTGTCCTAAAGGAGTGACTGGAATGTTGGGGGTTCAACGGGGTACCAAGGGTGGGTGAACCCAGGGTCCCACGCACAGTTGCGTGAAACTTCGCACCCGCTGGTGTTCACTGCCTTAAATCTCTGCACGATTTTTTTTCTGTTCCTTTTTTTAGCTTTTGGGGTCACACCAGGTGATGCACAGGTTTGACTGCTGGCTCTGTATTCAGTTATCACGTCTGGCGGTGCTCAGGGGACCATATGGGATGCTGGGAATCGAACCCGGGTCGTCCATGTGCAAGGCCCTATGCTAACACTCCAGCCCCTTTGCATGATTTTTCCAACTGCACGCCCCTGGGATCCTCGGGACAGAGGCCCTGGACAGTTCACCTGGCTCGGGACTGCACGGCACCTATGGGGCACTTAACCACAGCCAAGAGAAAAGGGGGCTGGAGCGATGGTACAGCGGGAAAGGTCTTTGCCTTGCGAGCGGCTGACCCGAGTTCAATCCCTGGCATCTTATATGGTCCCTCGAGCCATAAGTCAGGGTAACTCCTGAGTTACTGCCAGGTGTGACCCAAAAAAATGAAACAAAAAAAATATAAAACCATATAACCCACTGTATTTCAGAACCTTTTAGAACCTCTGATATTTAGAACCTCTGATAGAACCTCTGATATGGGAGGTGTCCTCCAGACCCACCTTACCCACAGTGCCCCATGGGTGGGCCCCTGTCACATGGTCTGGGCCCCTGACAGAGAGAGGACAGTGGGTCTGAATTCCATCTCTCGCCCATTAATGCTGCAACTCTGGAATATCCTGATGCTCTCGCGGCCTCACTTCCCACCTCTGCCAAACAAGTGATGCTCCTTCCCAAACACCACGTGCACACAGGCACTGGACCCTCCACGAGGGTGGACTACTGGAGACAGAGGTTTCCTGGGCTAAACGCAGAGGTGCCTGTGCACAGGCTTACCTGGCCCAGCACAGGAGAGGGCGAGGAGCCGGTGGCAGTGGCTGGTGTGAAGGCTGACCTCTGCCTGAGCTGGCCGGCACTTGGCACAGTGAGGGATGGCTGCGTCGCCCAGGCGTCCCAATTGTCAGTCTCAGGCTTGTCACCAGAGCTGGATGGCCACCTGGAGGGAAGAGCAAGCCGACATGAGTGGCAGGTCCCTCCCAAGCAACCACCTTGAACACACGCATGCTTCCCAAGGTTCCCATGTGGAGCTGCGTGTACCAGCCGTGTCCCAGGGCGGGCACAGACCACTGGTGGCTCAGACTTTCAATACCAAAAATACGAATCAGAGGAACCCAGAGGGGGGGCGGATAAGAGCCCTTCCCGCCCTAAGGGACCCAGCCCCAGCAGCTGTAAACCTCTAGAACCCACCCACCACCAAGCTCAAGGCCACTCCCCACACGCTTGGGCCGAACCTTATGCACAAGTGAACTTATTCCTGGACCGCACAGCTGCAAATGCGGCCGTGTCACACATCATAAGACACACCCTACCCATACCCCAAGAATACCACACCACATTTCGTGGGATTCAAATAGTAGGTAACCAATCATAGAGAGAAATATATATATATACACATATATACGTGTGTATATATATATACATATTTATATATATACATATTTCTGGTAGGACGTTTGCCTTGCAAGCTGCCGGCCCGGCTGAGCCAGGTTTGATTCCTCCACCCCTCTTGGAGAGCCTGGCAAGCTACCGAGAGTATCTCGCCTGCACGGCAAAGCCTGGCAAGCTACCCGTGGCATATTCAATATGCCAAACACAGTAACAACAAAGTCTCACAATGGAGACGTTACTGGGCCCGCTCAAGCAAATCGATGAACAACGGGAGGACAGTACTACAGTGCTATTTGTAACACTGTATATATATATATATATATATATATATATATGTTTCATGTATATATATGTGTTATATGTACACAAAAGTTTACAAGGCTCAACCTTTAACAATATGTTAGTGATATCTTATAGAAGGTCTTAATGGCCCCGGTCAAAATAGAATAATCTTCACACTCTTTCCTCTATGGATACTTTTTTGTAGCATTTTCAGCGGTTTTTCATAACAGACAATACAAAATATATTATTGCAGTTCTGCTTTGGGACAGGGATTGGGGTTTGGGATGGAAACATCCCAAATATGGTGGTGGGAATGTGTCATGGTGGTGGGATTGTGTGTGAATATTAAATGTCATCAAATATTATGAACTGCTTTATAAAATAAAAAAAAAAAGTTAAAAAAATGGGCCAGAGAGAGAGTGTAGGGAAAAGGGCATTTGCTTGCCCTCGGCTGACTCCAGATGATCCCCCAAGCCCCACCAGGAGTGATCCCTGAGCGCAGAGCCAGGACTAAGCCCTGAGCACCTCCAGGTGTGGCCCCCAAGCCAGTAATAATAATAATGACGATGATATGACTGAATGCCACATCAAGTGGCGAATGGCAGGTGCGCCAAGAGCAGCTGCTCTGAACCCTGAGTCCCTCCTTGGCTCAGGAACTATGAGTGCGGCTGAGAGGGTCCCACGGAGTGTGGCTAGGGAAGCTCCTGGGAACGGAAGTGAGACTGACGCGCACTGTCACCATCACCCTTCCCGGGAGCAGGTCCCAGCGTGGGGGGAGGCGTTTGCCTTGAAGTGCACCCGCGCACGTCCCCCAGCACCACACATGGCCACCCTGGATGCTGCCAGCGTCCACCTGAGCATTGAGCCAGGCATCGTCCAGACCCCATCAAAACAGACCAAACAACAAACCCCACAAGAACAAGCTACTGCAGCAACAGCACAGCTGAGGCCACGTGTGGCCCAGCCCCTGCCGGTGTCCTCCCACGGCTGTCCACCACTGGGGCACACAAGGGCAACAGGGAGGTAGGGCTCTGGGGTCCTGCGGCTTAGGGATGGTGTGAGTAAGAACTAGCACCAATCTAAATGGGCATTTTTCTTCCTCTGTTCAGAGGTGGGAGGAGGGTGGGAAACTGGCAGTGCTCAGGTCTTACTCCTGGCCCTGTGCTCAGGGCTCACTTGCTGGGGGGCGGGGGAGCTCAGAGAAACTCCTGTGGTAGGTACCAGGGTTTAGAACCAGGGTCCGCTGCATGCAAGGCAAGTGTCTTACACGCTGTACTAGCTCTCTGATCAACTAAATGCAATTACTCTCTCTCTCTCTCTCTCTCTCTCTTTCTCTCTCCCCCCTATTTTCTTTCTACTTTCTTTCTTACTTTTTTTTGTCTTTTTGGGTTATACCGGCTCTGCTCAGGGGTCACTCCTGGCTCTGCACTCAGGAATTACTCCTGGTGGTGCTCAGGGGACCCTATGTAATGGCAGATATTGAACCCAGGTCAGCCATGTGCAAGGTAAATACCCTCCCTGCTATCATATCGCTCTGTCCCTAAACACGTCTGTATCTTAATACGACAAAACCCATGTCTGAACAATAGAGAGTCAAACCTTCCCTTCCCCCCACATCCTGATTTCGGCTGTCTGCAAGGTGAGCGGGCAAGCACCATGTTTATCGAAGAAAGTCCTGCTCGCTGGGTTCAGGTCAAACAAAATCTCGCACAACAAAATCCCACTCATGATGGTGTCCGCCTGCTGTTCCAGCCCAAGCTCTAAGGGAAAGTCAAAATCAGGGTGGAAGTAAGGCCTCAAAGGGAAGGAGGGGCGTGAAAAGGGACTGCAACGACAGTGCAGGGGGCTCAGACACTTGGGTAAGTGTGGGCCACTCCAGTTAGACACCCAGTACCACACAGTCTCTAAGCTCTGTGAGGAGTGATCCCGTGACCCTGAACACCTGGGGGTGTGGCTCCCAAACTGAACAAACCAAACGGAAACAGACCTAACTTTAAAATTAAGACCAGGGGCTGGAGCAATAGTACAGAGGACAGGGCACTGGCCTTGCACGTGAGCGACCTGGGTTCGACCCCCAGCATCCCATAAGGTCCCCCTAGTATTGCCAGGGGTAATTTCTGAGAGCAGAGTCAGGAGTAATTCCTGTGCACTGCCAGGAAAAAAGCAAATTAAATTAAATTAAATCAAGATCAGGGGCTGCCAGAGATACAGAACAGTGGGGAGGGTATACTCTGACCTGGGTTTGATCCCTGATATTCCATATGGTCTCCAGAACCCACCAGGAGTATCCCTGACTGCAGAGCCAGGAATAAGCCATGAGCACAGCCAGGTGTGATACAAAAACAAAAAGAAAAACAAAAAAGAAAGAAAAAAAAAGTTACATATAGGGACAGAGTGACAGTACAGCGGTTCAGACATTTGCCTTGCACCTGGCCAACTGGGTTTGATCCCAGCACTCCTCTGGGGTCTCAAGGCCCACCAGGAGTGATCTGAGTATTGCCGGGTGTGGCCTCAAAACTCAAAAAATAAAATCAAGATTATCAGGAAGAACTGGAATTGGAATCAGGAAACAAAAAGGCAATAGCAATTCAATAGAATTTTTATATTTCTCACTGCTGTGGGTCACCCCAGTCTCACACATGACCACTGGAGCTGCACCCCAGCCCAAAGCTCCTTTTCTGAGCACAGCTGTGAGCACCCCCAGTGCTTTGGCGAAGACACGCGTGGGAGGATTTCATTCCCCTGAGCACCCATCCGATGCCACCTCCCCTCGCCGGGCAGGCTACATCCATCCCCACTGCGCCCTTCCCAGGCCTCCATCCACCGTCCTTGCCCCTCGCTCTGCGGTTCAGTCTGTTCTGTTCACGGTAAGGTTTCACAAAGAACAAGCAAAGGAACTTCTAGCTCCGTTTATCTGAAAGCGCTAACGACTTTGGACGGCACGTCTTGCCCCAGCCCTGAAGCTGGAAGTGTGGGCCCAGGTCTAGGAGTTATGGGAGGGAGGGAAGAGGGAATCCTGTTCATGCATCAGGCTGAAAGCCGGACCCTGCCTGGAGACCAAGCGCGACCTGAAGCACTACCTCTCTGAACTACTACCTACGATGGGGGAGGAGGGGGGGAGAGGAAGTGAGGGAGAGAGGAAGGGGGAGGGAGGGAAGGAGAGAGGGAGGAGGGGGAGAGAGAGAGAGAGAGAGAGAGAGAGAGAGAGAGAGAGAGAGAGAGAGAGAGAGAGAGAACAAACGCCAAACAGAACCAGCTTCCAATTCTGGCTAATCTCTAGGAGAAACCTTCGCTCTACCTCTCTCTCTCTCTCTCTCTCTCTCTCTCTCTCTCTCCCCTCCATCTCTATCTGTTTCTCTGTCTATATCTCTGTTTCTCCCTCCCCCTTGTTGTTTCCTGTCCTGGAGACTGAGCCCCGGGCCAGGCCAATGCACTGCAGCTGGGCTACATTTCTCCCTCGAGAACGAACAATCCAGACAAACGACTGAATAAGGCAAGGCAATCGGCTTTATTTGGTCAGAGGCAGCCGTCCGGCTCAGAGAAGTGACACTGAGGACGGAGCCCAGTTGCCACCCCGCCCCCCCCATAAGGCCAACCACTCGGAAATCACTGCTGGGGGCGTGGGGGTCTCAGACGCGGGCGGCACGCGCGAGACTACACCTACGTGGAGCTGAAGTCGGCCCAGTTGTTGGGGGTGGTGGAGGGCTCCGTGGAGGTGGCGGCAGGCTGGGTGGGGGCTTCCCGCACAGCCAGCTTGGGGGCCAGGGTGCTGGACAGGTCAGGCGCGGGCTTGGCGGGGGCGGGGACCTCGTTTTCCGGGATTTTCTCTGCGTAGTTGGCAGGGAACCAGCCTGTCTTTCCTTTCAGCTCTCCGCCAAGCCATCCGGGCTCCCCAGTCTGGCTCTCATCCACCTGGGGGAACAATGAGGAAGGGGGTGATGTCAGGGGGACTGAGGAAACCCGCAAAGCTACCTCCCACTCCCAGAGGAAACGCAGGCCCCGCACACCCCTCACTCCTATGGAACACAGCCCCCTCACTCCTCCAACTCCACTGGACACACAGCCCCAAACCCTGCTGGACACAGTCCCTGCACCTCCCACCTCCACTGGACACACAGTGCCTGCACCCCTCATATCCACTGGACACACAGTCCCCCCACCTCCACCGGACACATAGTGCCCCCACCCCCCATGTCCACCGAACATGCAGCCCCCACAAACCCCCAACCCCACCTCTAAGGGGCTCTATCCTGGGAATAGCAGGAGGGGTGAGGACTTGGGCTCTGCCCCTCTGTGCTATGGCCTAATAATGGCCCTGAAATGCCCGCAGCCCCAGCAGCTCCCATAACTGGGGGGTGGGGGGTGGCCCAATGGTCTCCAGTATGTACTGGAGCAGGAGGCAGCAATGGGATCCCGAGCTCTGTGGGAAGGGAACCCTAGGGCACCAGATGTGACACTCACGCTCCTCCCTGCTCCAAACCAACCAACCAACCAACCATCCAACCATACAACCAAGCAACCATCCAATACAAACATTACACACAATTCACTGACAGACCTCGTCGCTCGGGTCTAACCAAATTATTTAATAAAATTATACTGGACCAGGCCTTACTAAGTGCGATCCACACACATTCAATACTCCCAAATCTCCACTGACTAAGTGGCGTTTATTCCGGAGGGACAGGAAGATCAAAACAAACCCATTGGGCCGGAGTGACAGTACAGTGGGGAGGGTGTCTGCCTGGCACACTGCCTGGCACACAGCCCACCCAGGTTTAATCCGGCACCACATATGGTCCCCCCGAGCACTGCCAGGAGTCAGCCCTGGGCACAAAGCCAGGAGTCAGCCCAAACCCAAAAGAACAAAATCAGAAACACACACTTTCCAGAGCTCCCATGGGAAGGAGACTCCATGTTCGGACATTTAAAAGTCTCATTGAGGGCTGGTAAAAGAACGCAACAGGCTGACAACATGATCTGCACAAGGGCAGCCCAAACAGGACCCCTCAGCATCCCACAGATCTCCAAGCACAGTAGTAGGGACGGTCCCTTGGCACCACCTGATGTGGTCTAAAGAGAACAACAAGAAGAAAATAGAGGCTGAAGATATAGCACTGTGGTGAGGTGCTTACCTCATGCCTGACTGCACTCAGGGATCACTCCCGGGGCACAGGGGACCATACTGTGCTTTCGGAGGAAATTTTTTTTTTTTAATTAGTGAAACACCATGAGGTACAGTTGTAGATTTACAATTTTTTGTGCTTGGGTTTCGATTATACAATGGTCAGATACCCATCCCTCCACCAGTGCCCATTTTCCACCACCATGGATAATATCCTCCCCACCCCTATCCCCATCCCTCCATCCCCCCCTGCCTCTGTGGCAGGGCAATCCCTTGTGTTCTCTCTCTCCTTTTGGGTTTTGTGGTCTGCAAAAGAGGCATTGAGTGGCAAACATGTTCAGTCCATAGTCTACTTTCGACATGCATCTCCCCTCTTGGGAGGATCCTCCAAACACCCTTTATTTGGTGCTCCCTTCTCTATCTGAGCTGCCCTTTCCCCTAGAATGCCCGGCTGGCCTCTAAGCTATGGAGTAATCCTCCTGGTGCTTATCTCAGCTATTCTTGGGTATTAATCTCATATTGTGTTACTTTATATCCCCCAGATGAATGCAATCTTTCTATGTCTATCCCTCTCTTTCTGACTCATTTCGCTTAGTATGATAATTTCCATGTTGTATGGGGGAAAATTATTTTTATTTTGCTAATTATTTACTACTAATAAGAACTCAGACTCTGGAAAGACAGACTCAGATTTAAGCTAAAATCGATAAACTGGCAGATTAGTACTGTGTGAATGCACTAAATTACAGAATGGTCCAGCTAACACAGATTTAATCATGCTAGCTTTTTTTTTTTTAACTGAATCACCGTGAGATGAGCATTATAAATGCTGTTCATGATTGGGTTTCAGTCATACAATGTTCCCAACACCCATCCCTCCACCAGTGTAATTTCCCAGGACCGGTGTCCCCAGTTTCCCTCCCATTCCTTTAACCAGATTGAACCTGGGTTGGCAGAGTACAAGGCAAGCACCTTACCCACTGTACAATTGCTCCCACGCACTGAGGCCCATGCCTTCAATTCCCACGGCTGACTCAGGTTCGATCCCTGAGCAATGAGGCAGGAGTAAGCTCTGAGCACTGCCAGGTGTGGCCCCCAAATCAAAAATAAACAAATGGCTGGCAGAGGGCCGTGGAGCCGGCTCCAATGGAGAGTTGAGTCACATGCTCAGTCACGAGGGCGCAGCACCCAGGCTGCAGCCTTCTAAGAGGGCAAAACCTCTCCCCTTGGAGCCACTGCAGAAGTTAGCACAAAAGCAACACCGAGGGCAACTCACCCATTAGCCCAGAAGGAGCTGCGCTGGGTGGAGAAAACTTTCCTACAGAAGAGGCTGTGGGTCAGACGGCCCCCAGCCCCCCTGCCAAGCCCCTACCCTGCCATCACTAAGCATTATCGGACCCAATTAGCTGCAAAGATTATATGACCTGAAGATGGTAAACAAGCTTTGCTCGGGTGTTCAGGGAATTCAAAGGAAAGCAGCAAAGAAAATAGACCGCGTGCGTGAAAAATAAAAAGGAAACAAAACAAAAAGAATCACTCCTTAGAGCTCATGCTCAGGGGACCGAATGAGATGCTGAGGACTGAACCCGGGTTAGCCACATGCATGGAAAGTGCCTTACCGTATTATCTCTCTGGCCTCATAAAAAGATTTTTAAAAATTTCCTGAAAAAACACTAAGAAAAAACTTCCAATAAAAAAATACTTAGGGGGGCTGGAGCAATAGCACAGCAGGTAGGGCGTTTGCCTTGCATGCGGCCGACCCGGGTTCAATTCCCAGCATCCCATGTTTCCCTGAGCACCGCCAGGGGTAATTCCTGAGTGCACAACCAGGAGTGACCCCTGAGCATCGCCAGGTGACCAAAAACGAAAAAAAAAAAAAATTAGGGTATGTGGGAGTCCTAGCTATAATCACAGGAGCACATGACAAGCACCACCCCCCTCGAGGACCACCATGGGGTCCTCCCCAACGATCCTCCCCAAATAAAAGCGAAAACCTTTCTTAAAGGATTTTCATCTTTCCCATTTAACCTCCTGATGCTGATTTCTGGCTGGAGGCGGAGACCCCGACGCAGCACTTCCACATCACTCACCCACAACACCAACTCAGAACACATCTCTGCCATGTGACAGGCCCCGCAGAGACGTGGAGACACACAGAACTGATGCCATGTGAAAGACCCCAACACGGAATACACAGGGTGGGGGGGAGCAAGAGAGAGAGAGCGAGCGAGAGATAGAGCACTTACCCATTCCCCTTTAACCTCCACCGGGAAAGCAAAGGTTTGAAAGCAAGGCAAAGAGAGGGTTAATGCAACGGAACAGTCAGGGACTTCTCAGCTCCTAGCTAGTCCTGCTGCCACTGGGGGAGCGGCCAGCTGGAGGGGACCCGGGCCAGGGCTCCTGACCATGGCATCCTAACGTTAAGTTCCTCATCGAGAAGTGTGCTGACCTTTCTTTCTTTCTCTTGGGTAAGAGCACTACTTTTCTGTCCCTTTATGTTGTGACAAAACCCAGTTTCAGAACCTGTTGGTTTGGTTTCTTTTCTTTGGGGGGGGGATGTCACACCCAGCGATGCTGAGGAATCACCTCTGGCAGTGCTCAGGGGAACATATGGGATGCCAGGGATCGAACTCTGGACGGACGCGTGCAAGGCAAATGCACTCTCCGCTGGACTATCGCTCCAGCCCGGGTTTGGTTTCCTTTTTCTGTTACAGTGTAAGGGGGCAACTTGGAGTGATAATTACTCTGCCCTGCCCTGCGCTGGTGCTCTCAGGAACTGCAGTGAGTTTGCACTGAAAGAAAAAACACAGGCTGGGCTGGGGAGGTGCTCCGAGGGCCGGGGACCACCAAATAGAGATAAAATGAGCAGAAGGCCAGGCACACCTAAAGCTGAATGGGTTTGATCCCTGGTACCGCCTGGTACCCCAGCGAGGGTATGACTATCTCCCCCCAAGAGCAAACAGAAGACCCAGGAAACAGGAGACGGTGAGGAGGGAGGCAGACAGAGCCCGCTGCTGGCCTCAGCACACGTGTGTCACACCCACACTAGAGTGGGCCACAGCTGCCAGCGCTGCTCAGACAGACCCTGCAGCCAGGACCATACCACGGGGGTGTGAGGGAGAGTTCAGGAAGGTTCTGGAGCTGCTGCCTCGATGGTACACTCAGCGTCAGACAATCAAGAGAAAAAAGCTCCCAGATAGTGATTTCCCTAAGTACTGGACGAACACATGGCCCTTCCCGCCAACTTGGGAAGGACATGGTACCCAGGTACCCATGGTACCACGATGCCCACACAACACCCCTTGAGACTTCAGAGACCACAGGATAGGCAAGCAAGTCAGACTCAATTGGTAGCAGGCATCAATGCACTTGAACAATTCCGCCCAGATACGGCCCTTCAGAAAGCAGCCAAAGGCAACTCAAAGACGGAATGATTTGGGGGGGTGGGGGGTTGGGCAGAGACAGGGTCTCAACCTAGGATCTCACGTGTACAAGGCAAAAGACCTATCACTGGGTCTCCTCCCTGGCCCCTACAAATCCTGTTTTTTTTTTTTTTGCTTTTTGGGTCATATCCAGCGATGCTCAGAGGTTATTCCTGGCTCTGCACTCAGGAATTACTACTGGTGGTGCTTGGGAGACCATATGGGATACCAGGGATTGAACCCCAGTCGGCTGCGTGCAAGGCAAACGCCCTCCCCGCTGTGCTATTGCTCCAGCCCCCAAATACTCTTCTTTAGCTGGGACCTAGCTCCGGGGAATTACTGGGCTTTACAAAAACTGAATCCTGTCAACCACAGTGCTGACCTCCTTCCTGCGTCCAGTAGCACAGCTGCAGTTCCCACCACGAGACCCTCCTACATCATGATGCTGCTGAAGGAAAATCAGCTGCGACAACACAAAACCTTTGCTGTTTTCTTGCTCTGCCCACTGAGGGAACAGATGAGACGTCTCCCAACTCTGTGCTCACGGCCTTTGCAGAAAGACCGGACACGCTGGTTAAAGGCAGAAACAGCTCTGGCTGGCAGCCTTGCAAACAGCCCTAAGCGCCTTCGGTATTTAAAGCCACAAGACAATTCCAGCTCCTTGCAACCATCTCAACTCCAAAACGGAAAGTGATACGGCCAAACCGATCCCCATCACCCACTGGGTTAAGGACAGCTTCCTCCCACCCCACCCCAGATCAATTCAGAGCCTCGAGAAGCTTGGTGCTTAAATGCCATCTGCACAGACGGTAGGGAAGGGGGCCCCAGATATGGGTCACTGGAGCACGGGACCGTGACAGTCCCCACGCACTCTTACCATGACGATGTCTCCGGGCTGGATAGTGATTTCATCATGACTTCTCGACTCAAAGGGATACAGAGCCCGGTAGTACACCACTTTAACGTTCTCCTGGGTGGAAATCGTCAACGGGCCTTTCTCTGCGCACACATACACAGAAAGGGGAGGGGTGGGGGAAGGAGGGGAAAAAACAAATCTTTAGATGAGATGGGGCGGGAAGAAGAGAGTGCGAGCGAGCGAGAGAAAGAGAGAGAAAGAGAGAGAGTGCATGTGCAGCTTGGCGGTTGCCCATTTAGACCTCCAGACTGTTCCCATCCATCAGGGATACCCGGAGGCAGACTCCAAGCTCAAGGGCGCTGGAATCTGTCACACCAGGGTGACACCCTCTCTGTGCGGGCCACAGAAAGGCCCACGGGTCAGCACCTTGGGGCCAGACACTCGCAGGAGCTCCCCTGCACACCAACACAACCCTCTGCTCCAGCCAAGGCATCTAGACACAGAGCCCAGATCCCAACCAGACCAGAAGGAAAGCCGCAGGGAAAGGGAGAGGCAACAGGCAGTCTTGGAAGAGACACGAAGTACCACAGGATGGATGGAATCCAGGTGCAGAATTCACGCCGCACAGGGGAAAATGTTAATCCCTGGTGAAGCATGCTATTTACGCACTTTCCTCCACATATTCAAGGGGGAAACAGGACCAAGGGTAGAGCCCAGGAGAATATGACTTAAGCATGAATGTTGTTTTAAAGCGGGGTGGGTGTGGAGCAATAGTATGGTGAGAACGGCACCATGTTTCATAGTCCTTTCTGCTCAGTTACTCTTCCCAGCTCTTCTGTTTCAGGGCCGGAGAGCCTGAGGAGTTCGGGGGCTTGCCTTACATGTGGCCTCCCCCAGCACTGCCAGGTCACTCCCGAGCCAGGGGTAGCTGGGCATGCTGCTGGCTGTGGCCCCAAATTGCTCCCCCTCCCCCGCACTGCTCAGGGTTTGCTCCTGGCTCTGCACTCAGGGATCACTCCTGGTCAGCTCAGGGGACCACAGCTCTCAAGAATGTCTCCTCCCAAGCTGTGAGGATTTAGATACTCGCAGATTCGCCCTGGAGGGAAGATTTTGTGCTCCAAGTCTGCAAGTGGATGAAGAGTCTTACTTTCCCCTGTGAGGGGGCGGGGAGAGAGAGAGAGAGAGAGAGAGAGAGAGAGAGAGAGAGAGAGAGAGAATACAGGACCTCAAGATTATGTCTGTGTCAGTGTGTGTGTGTGTGTGTGTATGTGTGTGTGTACAGGACACACCCTCAGATCTGAGGACAGAAGCACAGAAGCACAAAAGGGCCAAAAGGAATTGCCTGAAAAATTCCTGAAAAGTCCCGGGGAAATGACATTGAGGTCAAGAAAGGATCCTACAAGCCCTGGTGCCTGCAGAGGGCACAGCTTCCTGGTGCGGCTGAGGGCTGGCCAGGCCTTCCTCCGTGGTCAGGGCGGAGGAAGCCCTTCTAGCAGGAAGGGTATGAGTTCAGGCTCGGGCCCGTGTGGCCAGCCCTGCAAACGCTGGGGTGCAGACCGGAACCGAAGGGGCCTTTGAGGAACTGTGTGTTTGGGCTTTTTTCCCATCCCCTTTTCTCTCCATGTCCCACTGCACAACCACCAAATGGAACCAGTGAACATGCCAGCAGGTTTATGCCGGGGAGGATCACACAGCCATCCCCGAATTTCCAGTTTGCTTGTGATACTAGGGTTTCTTTCTTTTTTTAAAAAAATTAACTTTTAGTGATGGCAAAATCTTTCCTCTATCACTATTTAAAGTGGCAACATAAGATCATAGGGCCCAGAAGAGTCACACCTTTGAAAGGCAGCGGGCAGGATTTGAGGCCTTGTGGGCTGCGGGGTGTGACAGCCACAGTCACCAGGACTCGAGAAGTGGCTTCGGGCTACCAGGAAAACACTCGGAAATTCCCAGAGCCACTGACAAAAGATGGGCAGGACAGGCTGCAGGGGCAGGAAAGGTCTGGCCTCCGCTATGAATGGAGTTTGGCATGCAGACTTGGTGCCTGCTGGCAGGGGCGTTGGTAGGCGAGGGTGAGCGTGAAAAGAACTCAGAGAGCTGATGACCCCTGCGCCCTAAGAGAGACCCACCCCTTTCCATCTCCAACAAGGTCATCAATGGGGCTGGAGCGATAGTATAACGGGGAGGGCCTTGCACACAGGCTGACCCGGGTTCAATTACCAGCATCCCATATGGTCCCCTGAGCACTGCCAGGAGTAATTCTTGAGTGCAGAGCCAGGAGTAACCCCTGTGCATCGCCGGGTGTGACCCAAAAAGCAAAAATAAAATAATTAAAAAATAAGGTCACCAAGACGAGCCCCCCTAGCCCACCCCAGCCTGTTTCTGGCAGCTCCTACCTGCGGTGGACCAGGGCGCTTGCACCGCGGGCTTAGCCGACTCAGGGTGTGGGTGGAAGAGGCGGCTCAGCCGGTCTTGCGTCTCCGGCTCACCTTTGTCCTCCCCATCCTTCTTCCGGACGCTCTCGTCCCTCTTGAGGCTCTCTTCATCCGGGGCTTTCCTGGGTCGGGGAAGCTCCTCATCCCGCTGCACGCGCTCCAGCCACGGCTTGTCCCGGTCCTGAGCTCGTCTGCCAGGGAGAGATGCAGTTTGGTAGGAGGAAGCAATCTGGGTACCCGCCGCCCCAGGAAGCCCATGGCATCAACAGGAGGCGGCAGGCCCCGAGAAAAACTGTCCTTTGGAGAGAATGGATGGAATCCAGGGCTGGAGGAGCAGTGGGAGCGAGAGGCACCCCAGGATTCAGAAAAGCACAGCTAGCCCCATGTCCTGTATGGAGTGATGGGAAGCTTAACCAACATCCTATTCCCCCCCCACTCCGCCCCCGGTGTTTTGGCCCACATCCAGTGGTACTCAGGGCTTATTCCTGGATCTATGTTCAGGGATCACTCCTGACAGTGCTTCAGGGGACCCTTTGTGGTGCAGGGGATCCAACCCTGGTCAGCCTCATGCAAGGCCAACAACCTACTCGCTGAACTTTGGCTCTGACCTACAAACTACTTCTCTTAAACTGCTATTTCAGGGCAAATGGAGGGGCCAGAGCAAAAGCACAGCAGGAAGGGCATTTGCCGTGCACATGGCAGACGTGGGTTCGATTCCTGGCATCCTACACGGTACCCCGCAGAGCCAGGAGTGGCCCCTGAGTATCATCAGAGTGTGGTTCAAAAACCAAAAGAAAAATAAAAAGGGAAATGGAAAGCCCTGAGTCATTCAGGCAGGTGAGACAGTAAAGCCACTGCCGGCGATGACATCAGTGCTGGCGGGGATGGCAAGAGGGTTCCTTCCCTTCCCTCCCTCCCTCTCTTTTTTAATCTCTAAGCACTTTTATTAAGAAAACTTGGATTCTACATGAACACACACACACACACACACACACACACACACAAATGCCTGTAAGAACATTATTACTTTTGAGCTGGAGCAGTAGTAAAGCAAGAAGGGCATTTGCCTTGCAGGTGGCTGACTTAGGTTCGATTCCCAGCATCCCATATCGTCCCCTGAGCACCGCCAGGGAAATTCCTGAGTGCAGAGCCAGGAGTAATTCCTGAGCGTTGCCAGGTATGACACAAAAAGCTAATAAATAAATAAAAATGAATTTTAAAAAGTGAACTTTTATAGCCAAGGAGATTAAGTATCTTGAATTTCCCTCGCTAGGCTTTTTTTCCTCAAAGATTCCTCTTAGGCAGACGTGACCTTCTGGACCTCCAACTGTAGACGTGGTAATCCAGAGGAGGCTGAACAAAAACGAAATGCAGCATTGTGCTGTGTTCAAGAAATGGAGCCGATGGTTATAGGGACACCGTGCGGACGAGCACACACAATCCCAACACCGTCTGACTGAAGCCCTGGGCAGGAGCCCCCCACATTTTACTGGGGCCCCCCATGTGTGTCTGTTCACGGGGAATTGGCAGAGATCAGCGCCTCGAAATCGAGGCCTTGAGAACTGCTCAATGAACTCTACCCCAAAGGCCAGCCGAAAGGGCTGGGAGTGGTTTCCCTCTCGTTCTTGAAACTGAATAAAATGATCAGACTGGACAGGACACTCAAGAATAAATGACCTACAAGAATAAATGAACTGGGGGCTGGAGCAATAGCACAGCAGGTAGGGCGTTTGCCTTGCACACAGGCTGACCTGGGTTCGATTTCCAGCATCCCATATGGATCCCTGAGCACCGCCAGGAGTAATTCCTGAGTGCAGGAGCCAGGAGTGGCGCCTGTGCATGGCTGGGTGTGACCCAAAAAGGGGAAAAAAAAAAAAAGAATAAATGACCTAACTAGTGGTCAAAAGGAAGCCCAAAGGCTCACTGCTGTGATGGGAACTTGGGTCATTATCAGATAAGAAACAAAGAGATAAAGAGACAAGAGTTATTGCATCACAGGGCCTGGCCCGGTCAAAGCCCAGCCACACCCTCCAGAGGTCCAATCCCAGGCCGCCTGGTTCTAGCTACACCCTGAAATGTGACCTCAATAACCTGTCAATACACATAAGGCAACTCTCAGTGTTAGGAGCAGCCGAGGGAACGTCACATGGAAACAAAGTCTTCATTCTGCAGTTGGGGAAAGAGGCCAGACTGTGGGCAGGGGAGGAAGGCTCCAAGCCGGCGAGGTCTGGCTCCCAGGATCCCCAAAGCACCACAAAATGCGACGACCCCCCCCCCCCCCAAGAAAGCCGAACCCTACTGGGTATGATCCCCCGAACCAAACTGAACCAAAACAATGAAAGTTGTATGGATTTCTACACAGCATGAACATGAAAAATTTAGTGCAATGGGGTTCCTGGCATAAACTATCTTTTGAGAAATCATGAACGTGGGGCTGGAGAGAGAGGACAGCGGAGGCTGGACCCCTAGCATTCCGTACGCTCCCCCAAGCCTGCCAGGAGTCATCTCTGAGTGCAGAGCCAGGTGTGAGGCGAGCAGGGCTGGGTGTGCCATCACCCTACTAAGATAAAAGAAAAAAACAAAAACAAAACAAAACAAAAAAACCACCATAAGCAAATGTCTACTTATTTACAGATAAATAAGTAACAAATAAAACCTTTCCTGTGAAAATGAATTTCTGATGTAGGCTGCTTATCCATTAAAAATAACTAGTAAAACCAAACCAAGAACCACAACAAAATTCCCACCGGACTCCACGTCCTGTACCCTATGCCGGCCGCACCCCGGCCTCAGAGACACCAGAGCCCTAAAATCACGGGTGCTGCACCGGGAAATCGGTCAGCCACGGTGCACCCACACCAGTGACTCTTTCAATGGTCCGCTTCATCTGCGCACTCTCTCTCTCTCTGCTTTTTGGGTCATATCTGGCGATGCTCAGGGGTTCCTCCTGGCTCTGCACTCAGGAATTACTCTAGGCGCGGTGCTCAGAGGACCATATGGGATGCTGGGAATCAAACCTGGGTTGGCCGCGTGCAAGGCAAATGCCCTATTGCTCCAGCCCCTGCTTCAGCTTCTCATCTCGCCATTCACCGAGACTTTCCCTGTTTCTTTCTGAGTGTGCCCAGAGGTGCTCAGGGAAGCAGGCCATGCAAAGGATGGACACTGGGCCTCCTGCACGTGCCCAACCCTGCAAGTGATCCCTGTGGGCCTCCAATACCAATTCTTAACTGGGGTCAGGGTACACACCCCACAGTGCTCAAGGCTTACTCCTGGTTCTGTGCTCAGAGGCATCTCCTGGGTCTGCAAGTGGTTCTGGGGATCAAGCCAGAGTCAGTCATAAGCAAGGCAAGAGTAATGAACCTCTGTACCATCTCTCTGGTTTTTCTTTAGTCATTTTGTTTTTTTCCAGCAGTGCTCAGGGCTTACTCTTGGCTCTGTACTCAGGGGGTCATACCTTGTGGGGCTCAGGGGACCATACGGGGTTCTGGCGATCAAACCTGGGTTGGCTGTGTGCAAGGCAAAAGCTCTACCCTCTGTGCTATCACTCAGGGACCCCCTTCACCAATTCTTACCATTTAGACACTATCCTTGTTCTAATGGGCCTACTGGGGCTTAATTTTTTTTTTCCTGAGGTCTGAAGTTAATCAAAACTTAAAAAAAAAACCATCGAGTCACCAAATCCAATGCACTAAACGTTTCCAGCTTGACTTCAACCACTTCCTACAGAAAACAGTAGAAACAAAACCAACACACACACACACACACACACACACACACACACACACACACCGAACAAGGTCAACACAAAGACGCTGTGCCAGTCCCAGTGGCCAACTGTGGCCCCCAAGGTTCACTGGCAGTTGGGAAAGGGAGGACAGAGGACAGGGTAGCAGGGCTGGGCTCCGTGTGGGAGGTACTGGGAGCTTTAAGATTCCAAAGCAAGTGTGCTTTGGGCCACTGCATTTAAACGCTGTGAACTGGAAAAGGATTTTACTTATTGGCATGCAAATGGGCACCTCAAGTGTCCCAATTTCCTTTGGTAAGTCTTCAGCTACATGGGAGTCGCTGGGGAGAGCTCTGGGAAGGAACCCAAAGCCTCAGGGAGTTACTTACCCATGCAAAGATTTGCGGATTTATGTGTTTAGGGTGTGTGTGCATAGTAGGCATACACACAGGGTTATAGGGGCAATTAGTGCATGAAGAAGCCCGGCCAATTCCTGCAGCCAGGCTATAAGTGACACACACACACTTGAGGAAGCCAGCCTAAGGGCAGTCAGAACTCACCTTTGGGCTTCTTCCTTCTGCTTTTCTAACTCGAGGACCTTTCGCTCCTGCTCCTTCTGCCTCAGTCGCTCGGCCTCCATGGACTTTTGCTTCTGGAGTTGCTGTTTATTGTGGATTTCCCTCAGCTCCTAGAAAGGACCGAGTCGCACGTGTCAATGGGCACCTGCACTGTGGGTCCCTCTGGCCTGCCTGGGCACAGAGAGGGTTGGAGGTCCCAGCGTGTAGAAAACATTCCAGGTGCATGTGTGTGTGTGTGTGTAGGGTGACAATGACGACACAGCAGTCATACCCCCACCCGTTTCTGACAGGGATGCCCTCCAACAGCGCTATCCTTTCCCATGCTGCACTTCAAAAGGAGAGATGGGGGGGCCCCAGAAACCAACCATCTTCTCAGATGGTCGTGAGCAAAGGCTACAGCCCCACACCCGCTTTGAAAGTCTGCTCACTTCCTTATGCATCACCTCCACTACCCTCGCCGCCTCCTTCTTGGAAGATGCCTGAGAAGATGCCCCCACCCCCTTGTCTCCACCTGGGTTGCCTACAGGTCCCAGTTTACTCTTTCCGGAACAACCCCAAGCCAGACACCCTGGGTCACCCTCATCGGCGTGCCCTGTGACCAGCCCAGGAATTGCAGTCATCGCCTTAAGCAGTCTTCTTTGGTCCAGAAAATGCAGTTTCTGATCCTTGAAGTTAAAACCTCCAGGAACAAGAACAAAACCCAAATCTGTTGAGAGGATAACCACCCACTGGCACCGGAGTCACACATGGCTGACCTCAGGCTCAGTCACCAAACCCCACTTGCTTGTCTCCCTCACAAACAAGAGGGTCTGGGAGAGTCCAGGTTAGGCCGGCTTAGGCCAGGTGAGTCCCCTAGAACCCCCAGAAGGCAGCCCCAGAGTGCCTCCAGAGAGACCAAACTGCTGCTTGCCAAGGTCCAGACGTGAGTTCTCCTCCTGCCTGAAATTCCTGACTCTCTGATTCACTCTGAGGTAACAGGCAAGGCCCTGCCCATCACAGGTTGGGGCGGAAACGCACAAACCCAGAAGAGAAGACAGGAGGCTCGGGCTGCTCTGAAAATGAGCTTCAAGGGCCGGTGCAAGCAAGCTGCATGGTGGGAGAGACTTGGCAAGGGGCAGAAGCACATCTGTGAGATACTAGAAGCTAAAATTGGGCTTCCCGGTGAAAGGGTAGGGAAGCCTGGCAGGAAGGCGACCCCAGGGAGATGGAGAAGGAAGCAGGGCTGGAGCGACAGGACAATGAGCAGGATGCTTGCTTTCTACACGCCCAGTCTGAAGTTCGATCCTTGGCATCCCATAGGGAGCTAGACCATGAGTATCCCCAAGTGCAGGGTGACCCGAGAGCAGAGCCTGGAGTAATAAGCCCTGAGCACTACTGGGTGTGCCCCAAAAAGCTAAAGGAAAAAAAAGAGGAAGAGGCTTGTGGGGGGATGTCAGGGATGTAATTCCACTGCTGTCGTGAGACATAAGACTCGGGAGGGTCGGAGAGATGCTGGCTAACCCTAGTTCGGTCCCCAGCACCATGGATGGTCACCCAGCACTGCCGGGAATGATCCCCAAGCAGAGACAGGAGTTCACATACCCTGAGCACTGCATGATGCCATACCCTAAAAAAATAAAGCAATGAACACACACACACACACACACACACACACACACACACACACACACACACAGTGCTGTCTTCCATAGTAATTTGGAATCAAGCACAAATCGCCATTTTGTAACACAAGTCCAGACTCCTGTCATTGGTCTGGATTTGATATTTCAGAGAAAAGATGGGAAAACGAAGTCACTTGCTGTTGGCCACAAGAATCCAGATTCCTGGATCAAGTTCCTCTCTCTATGGGAAAAGCGAAACGGGAGCAAGGTTCGGTTCTAAATGAGCTAAGAGGGACACCCCAGCCAGTCCTTGCACAGCTCAAGGATCCAACTCTGACATGAGCCCAGCCATTGGGGGGCCCATCAAAGGGAAAAGGGAAAAAGTGCAAGGTGGGACTTTTATTCTGATTTTATGGCATGAAACAGGTTCCGAGACGATACATGGCAATGAGGAGCTGCTGAGCTGGGCACAGCTGCCTGGTCTCTAAGCCTCCACAATGGATGGGCCACAGCTGAGTCAGGGTGATGGGGGGGCGGGGGGGGGGATGGTCTCACTTCAGCTGGAACAATTGCTGTTGGATTCATCGACAACATCCATCATACCAGAACTAGTTCTTTAAATCAGCGTCTCTTTCACCAAGGGTTTTACTCCCTTCTATCAACTGAGGAGAGGAAGGGTGGACGCCCGCACTCATGGTATTTGGGGCAAGTTTCTAGTCTGTTTCTGTTCTGCTCCTGGCAGTGCTCAGGGGACCCTGCAGTGCCAAGGATCACACAGTGCCAGTTGCCTGCAAGGCAGGCACCTCAATGAACCCAAGAATCGTCTCCGGCCCCCTATCTCCCTTCTTCAAGAGAAGCCCACCCCGTAATGTTCGGGGGGGGGGGGGGTGGGCGGGGAGCGCTAAGCGGGGACAGAGACTGAATGTGGGAAGCCAAGAGCCCTCTCATGGACCCTGGCCGTGGTTCCCATGTTAGGGACATTGGTGACAGTCTCCCAGGACTTCCTAACGTCAGCCCTCAGCGGATACCTATCTATAGCCACATACATCAGGCTGACAGTTATCTTATCTGGCCTTATCTATAGTGACCTCCAGGATGCACCTACTGCCATAAAACCCTTTGATGTACAAATGTTTACCTTGAATGTTAGGTAAAGCTCTTGTTGCTGTCCTAACCATGTATGATTATATTGCTTCTGCTCCTGACTGGGCTACCCTGACCCTATATAAACAGCCTGTATCCCTCAATAAAGCCTGTCCCTTTTTCTCTCTGTTTCTAAACTGTACTCTGTCTCTTGTGTCTTGTGTTCATTCGGTTGGTCCCTCCTTGCACCATCGGATCAATCCTCGGGCTACCTCCACGGGCCAGAGAGTGGTTAGCGGGGCCCCCTGCAACTGAACTCTGGGCCTCACGATGCCAAGCATGTATTCGACCACTTAAGTCTATTGCCCAGTCTCGTGGGGTTTGTCCTGATTGTACGGATCAAGCACAAGGTCTGCAGCCACAAACAATATGATTTAGGTGAAATCAAAAGAGCAGTAAATGATCAAAGGTGGGCTGGAGACATGAGCAAAGGTTAAGGTGCTTCCCTTGCACGCAGCCTACCCTGGTTAATTGCTGGTACCGCATGTGCTCCCCTGAGCACTGCCAGGTACGATCCTTGAACAGAGCCCGGAGTAAGCCCTGAGAACTGCTGGGTGTGATCCAAACCACTTGCACTCCGAAACAGAAATGACAGAGGAGAAATAAGATTGATGTTAAGGAACCTGATTTTACACATACACATGGGGGGAAAAAAAAGTATTCTTCTTTTCCCCCAGAATGTTTTCATAGGTAATGTTTAAAATATTTAACAACAGGCCCCGCACAAGCACTGGAGAATTAGAACTAGTGCGAGGCCTGATGGATCAAGGGAGCGGGGCCTCATTTTATCCAAGAATGATGCTGTGCGTTCAGATTCTAGTAACTGCTAATTGATTCAGAGATAAGGAATCAGCAGGCGAACTCTAAACAGATGGCAGTAATGCAGCAATGGAAGAGGAAGAACTGAAAACAATGAAAGGCAATTAAAAAGTGAACTGAGGGGCTGGAGCAATCGCACAGCGGGTAGGGCGTTTGCCTTGCACGTGGCCAACCCAGGTTTAATTCCCAGCATCCCATATGGTCCCCTGAGCACCACCAGGGGTGATTCCTGAGTGCAGAGCCAGGAGTAACCTCTGTGCATCGCTGGGTGTGACCCAAAAAGAAAAAAAAAAAGTGAACTGAAAGGACTCACCCAAAGAAATCAGTCTGAGGCACTTTTAAAAAAAAGGTTTTGTTTTGTTTTTGATTTTTGGTGTGTGTGTTGCGGGGGAGGGGGGGATAGAGTAATAGTACAGAGAAGAGTAAGACGCTGGCCTTGCACTAGGCTGACTTGAGTTCAATCACCAGCACCCGGGGCACATGAAGTGATCCCTGAGTGCAAAGCCAGGAGCAACCAAACCCAAACAAACAAGTCAAGTTTGGGTCTGGAGAGCTAGCTCAGAGGCTGACTCCTGCTTTGCATGCAGGGAGCCCAGATTTGATCCCTAGCACCTCATGGGCCCTAGAGCACAGAGCCAGGAGTATCACTAGGTATGGTTCGACCCCACACCTACCCATACACATACAGTGGCAGGGGATGAGGGAGGCACGTCTAGCAGTACTCAAGGCTAACTCCTGGCTCTGTACAAGGATCATACCTGGCGGTGCACAGGAGACCTGTGCGGTGCTCAGGACACCTGTGCAGTGCAAGGACTCAAAGCAGAGTCAGCTGCGTGCAAGGCAAAATATCTTATGCTATACTACCTCTCCAGCCCTCAAAACAGGAAAAAAAAAAAGGAAGAAAGAAAGAAAGAAAAGAAAAAAAATTCTTTTTTCTCTTAGGCCAGAGATGTGGGCTCAGCTACAGAGCCTTAAAATGTTTGAAGCCCTGAGAGGGATTCCTGGCATGGCCAAAATAAGTAAGAATGAATCTAGAAGGCATCCAAAATGCAGAGAAAGCGATGCAGAAGCCAAGCCATAAAGCTTGGCTTTATAGGTGAGTGGGGCAGAGAGGCGGTGCCTAGCTTTGGAGCTGTCCCTGTTAGTTACGGCCCCCAAGGCCTCTGAGAAAAGGGAGCTTTCGCAGGAACTGTGGAAGAAACAGATGTCAAATAAGGTGAACAGATGGCGGTGGCCGCATAGAGTCCAGCCTGGGAAGGTTCGCGATGCTTTCCTCTCATTTCCCTCTTTTTCTTCCTCCTGGTTAACTGCCGGTGGAAATATGCAATGCAGTCCAAGAAAACAGTCTCCAAGTGACATTCACTGAACACTTCCTTGCCCTCTCTCCACCGCGAAAGTTTCAGATGGAGGAACACGTGTCTGATTCATTCCTTGGCTGACGAGCTTTTTGTTCTGATTTAGAAATTTTTTTTTATCTTATTTTCATAGTTGTTCACAGTAATTAATTACGTTCAATATTTCAACACCAATCCTACCACCATTACACC